TTGCTCATTCTGAAGAGGCTTTTGTGGCTGGGGGCATGTCAAAAGGGTCCAAGGCTGCACACTCCATCATCGATTCCAGGGCATCAGCCCATATGTGCAATAATTGTTCTTATTTCTCCTCCCATCGTGCACTCAACCCCCCACGTTGTATATGCATAGCAGACAACCAAGTGATCCAGGCCACCGGCATAGGGAACATTCAAGTCCAAACCTGCATAGATGGTCAATGCCGAGAAGCAGTGTTCAAGGATGTACTGTATGTACCAGAACTTGGCGAGTCTCTGCTATCAACGACCAAGATGAGCGATGTGGGAATCAATACCGTGTTCACAACCAAGAGTGCCGACTTGATAAAGGCTTCCACTGGAAAGGTCCTTTCCCAGGCATTCCGAAACCACAACCTCTATACCCTTCAAGTGAAGGTTGACAATCCCGAGAGCGTCCGGCTGTGTACAGTTGAAACTGGTACAGATGGCCATGCAAGAGTCACCCAGACATTGCTGACATCGAAGGGGACTCTCAGGCTGTGGCATCGCCGGCTTGGACATGTCAGCGAAGCCACCATACAGAAAATGGTGAAGGTTGAAGCTGTTAGAGGAATGACGGTGGTGGGAGATGAAAAGGGAGACTGTTCTGCATGCCGAAAGGGGAAGCAGACTCGAAGTGATATTCCACATGCGACACAGGAGAGGGCGACAGGAGTTCTTGGTCGAGTTTATAGTGACCTATGTGGTCCAATGGAGACAGCTACGCTGGAGGGTCACCGTTACTTCATAACTTTCACCAATGATTGCAGCTGATATACCCATGTTGGGTTCTGCAGATCTAAGGATGATGCCTTCAATGTTTTCAAGGCATGGAAAGCACACGCTGAAAAGGAGACGGGCCAACAGCTGAAGATCCTCAGATCAGATGGCAGTGGCGAGTATGCATCAAGTGAATTCAAGGCTTACCTGGCTGAGCAAGGGATCAAACGCGAGATCACAAATGCATATACACCACAGGAAAATGGAGTATCCAAGAGGGCAAATCGGACACTGAATAATCTCGCGCGCTCAATGGTAGCCGATGCAAACGAAGTACTCCGACTCAAATCACTACCGGCAAATCTGTGGCACCTTGCTGTCAGACATACAGCGTGGATCAAAAATAGGACACTTACCAGTGCCCTGAGCAACAACTTAGCTCCCTACCAAGTGTATTTTGGACGGAAACCAACCCTGGTATCACTACATCTCTTCGGCTGTAAAGCCTATGCTCATATACCTGAAAGGCAATGACACTTGAAGCTTGCAGAGCGCAGCATTGAGTGCATTCATGTCAGTTTTGCTGAGGACAAAAAGGCATATATATTGTACAGCCGGGAGAAGCGATGGTTGTTTGAATCGCGAGATGTTGAATTTGAAGAGGAGGATGAAAGGGAGAGAGTGTTGGTGGAAATAGATGGAGAGGGGGAAAGGGAGATGGAGACTAGAGGGAGAAATGGAAGTCAGAATGGTGATTCAGAGGGGGATGAAAATGCCGACAGGGAAACCGGACTGTCAAACGATACTGGCGACACACCTGAAACCTCGGCATCAAGGAATCACCCAGCTTCGACTCCATCCTACTCTGAGAGTACCATAGACCCACCAACTCATCCTAAGAGTCCAGATCCAACTCTAAAATCCACACAAATCCGAAGATCCTCGTGCGCAACAAAGGGTAAACCCAGCCTAGTCAGCCACCTAATGACAGCCTATAGAGGGGGGGCCGTTTGGCCTTCAAATGGGCCTAAAAGGGGGTATTTACTAGTGGATGTCCTGATCCATTCACCAGGATGTCCTGGGATGATTCTATAATTCAATCAAATTCAATCAAATGCTTCTGTGATTCAATCAAATTTGTATTATTCAGGGTAGACATTCAAAACATAATGCCGCAATTGAATCTGATTTCCCATGACAATCCTCAGGCTGCTCAACTGTCTGTGCACAATGCTGGCCACTGTCTGAAGGGGTGTCAACACTGTTTCCCACGTCCCCAACACACTTTACGCAGATGGATAGCCCCTTTGAACAGCTTCCAGAATATATATTTTGAGACTGAATTGACCAATAAATCATCGAGAAAAACGCAAAATACTTTTTTGGACGCGGGTTAGTGTGGCTGTCCACCTCATGTCTGTGCACAGTGCTGGTCATTGTCCGGAGGGGTGTCCAGACTGTTTCCCACGGTGTCAACACACTTTGCGTAGTTGGATAGCCCCTTCAAATAGCTTCCAGAATATATAATTTGAGACTAAATTGACAAGCAAGTTATTGAGAAAAATGCAAAATACTTTTTTGGACACGAGTCTTTGAGATATCAGTGACCCGGGAATTTCGATGACTTCGATGGCTGTCAGTGAAATTTAGTGGCCCAAGCACTATCCCAAAGACTCGCATCCAAAAAAGTATTTTGCATTTTTCTATCCAACTACGCAAAGTGTGTTGACACCGTGGGAAACAGTCTGGACACCCCTCCGGACAATGACCAGCACTGTGCACAGACATGAGGTGGACAGCCACACTAACCTGCATCCAAAAAAGTATTTTGCGTTTTTCTCAATGATTTATTGGTCAATTCAGTCTCAAAATATATATTCTGGAAGCTATTCAAAGGGGCTATTCAACTATGTAAAGTGTGTTCAGACCGTGGGAAACAGTGTTGACATCCCTCTAGACAGTGGTCAGCATGTGCACAGACCATGGGATGGACGAGTATGGCATTCCGGGACAATTTGCAACCATTGAATCAAACTGAATTAGGACATCTGAGGACATTTGCAACAAACGAATGAAACTGAATGGCCAGGATGTCCTAGGATGTTTATAGTGAAAAAGGCCTTTTAGGCCCCATGCAAACGTCCTGAGGTCCCCCCTATAAAGGCCCACATAGTGGTTGTCCAAGGTGTGATGGGAGTTGAGTTTGATGAGCTGGCATTTGTAGCCACTGATTCTCCCTGGAATTACTGGGAGGCGATGGCCAGAAACGATGCAGACGAGTGGGTTGCCGCTATCACTGAGGAGTACAACAACCTCAAGCGGAAGGGAGTGTTTGTTGAAGTGGAAGCTCCAGATGGAGCACGTGTACATGATGGCCAGATGGTTTTTGGGGAAAAGCCAGATGCTGAGGGAAAAGTAACAAGGAAGAAGGTTAGAATCATCGCAAAGGGTTACACCGAAGTATTTGGGGAAGATTACTTCCACACATACTCGCCTACTTTGGGCCGCGACACACTTCTCTCATCCCTGGCATATGCAGCATCTCAAGACCTCGAAATCCACCAATTAGACGCAGTGGCCACTTATCTCAACAGCGATCTCACTGAGGAGATCCATCTTCAGCCCCCTCCTGGTGTCCCATCTGCTCCTGGCAAAATTTGGTTACTCAAGAAGGCCCTGTATGGTCTAAAACAGGCCGGACTGTAGTGGTACCGTACCTTACGTGTGCACATCAAGTCCCTTGGGTATCAGCAGTCTGGGTATGACCCATGTCTCTGTGTATGAGACAAAAACCACTTTATACTTGTCTATGTTGATGATCTACTTCTCTTTGCACTGAGGGACACATTGGCGATGGCGAAATCGGAACTTGCCGGAAGGCACGAAATGCGCGACATGGGAGAAGTCCACTGGTTCTTGGCTATGGAAATCACACGCAATCGTGCAGCTCAAACAATCACAATCAACCAGCGTCAGTACATCAGCAAGATCCTGAAGAGATTTAGGATGGAAAAGGCTCACCCGATGTCCACTCCCATGGCCGCTAACCTCAAACTTCCAAAATTGGAAGTCACCACTGTTGACCGACACTTGTTCCAGTCCATGCTTGGATCCCTCATGTACGTGTTGGAGAATATAATATGTTCCCAATAGTATAGAGTTTAACAGCCTATACCGGCATGGCTCAAGGGCAAGTAGTGTATGGATGCATGCTAGAGGTCCTGGGTTTGATACCAGGCTTGTCCATGATTTTATGTCCTTGCCACATGACCTGGATTTGAAGCCATTTGAATTGGAGCTCCGGATAAGTCCAGTAGTTGCACTGGATACAATTTCAACAGTACGCAGCTGTGGGCACCCAGCCCAATATCGCTTTTGCCATGCATTACCTAGTGCAACACACCATTAGTCCTGGGAAGAAGCACCTTGAGGCACTCAAGAGAGTATTTCGTTACCTTAAGGGAACTCAGGATCTTGGGCTCGTGTATGATGGAAAGCAATTTGGTGAGGGCCTAAGTGGATTCTCTGATTCAGACTGGGCTGGAGAGCCAAACACTCGGAGATCCGTATCAGGGTACTGCTTCACCTTCTGTGGGGCTGCCACTTCCTGGTCTTCTAAGAAGCAACAGACAATCGCGTTATCAAGCACAGAGGCGGAATATATGGCAATGACTCATGCAGGGAAAGAGGCAACCTTCCTCCAGAACATCTATGGGGAAGTTGGTATCCCCATTGCCCTTCCTACTCCTCTCCTAGTTGACAATCAGTCAGCAATCGCTTTGGCAGAAAATCCCATCTTCCATGCGTGCACCAAGCACATTGATGTCCGGCATCATTGGATCCAGGAGAAGATCGAGAGTGGCCAGCTAGAACTCGAATACATTCCAACAGCTGACCAAGTGGCAGACATTTTCACGAAGCCATTGAATGGGGAGAAGTTTAAGAAGTTTAGAGATGTTTTGGGTCTGTTGAAGGTTGATGCACATTGAGTGGGCGTGTTGGAGGAACACCACGCATTAACCGATCTCTATTGTCGCGTGATTTGCATGTGACTTCCGTTATAGTATAGTCACGTTTATTTTTGAATTCTTTTCTTTTTTCCTCAGTTCTCGCTGTAGAGACTGAGGTCAGTCCCTTTTATCCAACTTCATATTTAGCTCCTATCTTACATTGTAGTTAGTCACTCCTTTAGATATTTTATTACACACAAGTACACACGCAGCATGTGAACTCCAATGAGCAGCTAATTATTATTTACGGCGTAAAAAATGCCTCATTAAGCAATGACTGATCATCAAGGCAGCATGCAATCCACGTGTGAACGACAAGATTGCGCCGCTTTGGTCTACATTAAAAGTGCATAAACCATCCTTTCTTTATGATTTGCCTGCACACAAAGGAAACTAGACTCACTCTCTTGTCTTCGTCTCGAGCTCTCTCCTTCGGCTCAGATCTCGCTTGTGCAAAATGATATGTGTCAACTTGGGATGACTGAGTTCGCTCGTCACTTGACCTCCATTTTCCTCGATATTCCTCTCCACTTCCTCTAATCTATTAAAACGTTCTCATCAGTTTACTTCTGCAACCGTACAACAACTCTAGGGATTAGTAATTAATTCACAAGCTTACTCTGAATTGATGAGCTCCTGATCGTCTGATCCGCCAGAATTCTCGACGCTAAGCCCGTTAGAGCGAGCATTCTCTTGCGTATCGATATAGAAATGTCTATCGTTCGCAATACTCCATGATTAGCATACCCGCCACGGAGAGATCACAACGACTCACAAATGTTTAAATATCTTCTCAGTATCATACTCCATGGCATCATCGGATTCACCCATCGTAATGTCCTCTTTCTGATAATAATACAAACCATGTCATTGATACGATGAACAAAAAAAATGATAATCATAAAACAACTGACCTCATCCACAACCATTTGGTCCTACAATGCCCATCATCAGAACTTCGTTTCCCAGGCACCCAATAAAAGGATAATCGGGAAACTCACCACGCCCGCCGACTTCGAGCCTCCCCCTTCATCTGGATCCTCAACAACTACGAAATCATCCACATCCTCCCTCCCCACACTCCTCACCTCATCCAAGTCAATCTCCTCCCCCTCCGTGAGTCCCCCTTCTGACTCCGTGTCACTCTCCCTCTCTCTAAACTTTTCCGTACTCGATCCTAACTCGTCAGTCTCCTTCGGCTTCTTCCCCTTCTCCTTATCATTATTGCCCTTCTCTTTCGCATTCTCAGCAATTTGGGCTGAAATGACATGTATCCAGGAATCTGAATCCAGATTGCCAGGACCGACCAACACTCCATCCTTATCCTCACCCTCATCCTCCGTTTCCGAACTTCCCCGCTCACTTGCCCCTTCGTTTAATTCCCCGGCTGGAACCATGGGTCGCCTGGAAGTTGACGGCACATCGTCCACATCTTCATGCACCTCGCCTTCAACTTCGCCACCACGATACTCCGCGCTCACCTGAGTCTCCTCAGTAACATGAAAATAATACCTATTAACGCTGCTATTCCACGCATTTATCGAATTAATTAGCAAACCGACTTACTGTCTCCCTAGCGCAACGATGCTGTTCCCTTCAATACAATCCACGATCCACTCCGGCTTAATAATATCATATATGTCGTTTTTAATGATACTCTGTACCGGAACGTCTGTACAACAAACCACGCAGAGATAAAATCATGTCAGAAGGTCCACACTGAAACGATGAAAATGAGTACTTGCTCTTAACGGTACCACCGTAAATGATGGTAACACCCTCGACTTTACTGTAGGATTGATGAATGCTACCCCCATGCTCTTTAATCCTACGAGGCAAGAGGTATTAGTATAGACCATCAGAAGTGTGACACAACGTTCTGTTATGGTGAAGCGACAACTCACATTCGTTCAACTTCTGCCTTGGGGTACTTCTGCTTTGGCCCACTAGCCATAATAACATCTACATAAAAAGATCGGTGAGCAGCATGAAAATCTAATTACACTGCCAAGCAACAACGTACGGAATTTCCTCCCCTCAAATAACTCACTCCTCGATTCAACACCCGATAAATCCTGGCCTTTATGCGAAGCTCCAAATTCCATTCCGCCCTGTCACCAACAAACACACGATCAAGACCGAAAATTAGCCTCTCCACCCCAATGAACGTATGAACGTAATCCCACCTTCTTCTTCACACCTTTTCTTCTCTTCGAAAAGGGCCTGAAAGCAAGTCATCCCCATCGCGTCAATCCAAAGATTGATATCCTGAAAAACAGTCTCACTGATCATCACCCTCCGAATGTCTCCTCTTTCCAGAAGCCAGGTCTAATACCTCTGATAACGACGGGGACAGTTACCGTCACCATCGTGAGATGGGGAGTGAAGGGCGAGGAGTGAGAACCGGAAATAGCAACTTGCCTGAAATCGACATGCAATTCTCCAAGCTAAAATCATGTCGAATATTTTGACATCTTGGAAAACGCATCGTCATTCCTGCGGCATACTGGTCTATAATTCCGCATCGAACGGCATTTCCTTAACAGTTAACATGCCGGAAAGCCCCTTTGAAGTAAAACGAACCTGATGGACTGATGGATGCCGCCTTGACAGTAATGATGAACGACCTTTTAACGAAGCGAAACGAGAGTTAGGGAACCACATATCACTGAGAAGAAAACAACTTACTCCTCGGGCTCCAGGAACACGTCACCTTTGTCCTCAGTCCCAGACTCAGGCGACACACGTAGCCAATACGGAGGCTTGTACTTATTAAACGGCTTCCAGGGTTTCATATTGATCCATTCATAATCTTCCAATGAGAGACCCGATCCAATGCGAACAAACGTTTTGTATACCCTATTATGATTTTGTTATGGTTTGCGTGTGAGTGAGGAAAGAGGATGAAACAGAAATCCAGTGGGAATCTTACTCACGTTGAGGATTTCTCGTCATCGTCATGGGGATCACTTCCTTGTATCGTGGGTAGGGAGTCGTCCCGAACGGCGCAGATGAGCGTCGAAACGCGTCCACCTCGGGAACCTGACCCCCAGTGGGCCGCTGGGCACCGAAAAGGGGAACGATGAGCACGAAATTAGAAAATAAATAAACGTATCCACCCACCCACAACCAGGACATCGACGGTTTCTCCCATGTTGTCCTGAATCGAACCGCGTTATCAGGATAGGCTAAACACACACTGATATCGACAGTTACCATGTATTCAGGCTTCACCTGTATAACCCTGATAGTAAACATGGAGCATAAATGATACAAAGCGGCCTTACCTTCGCCCACCATTTGCCTTCACGACCTCCTAGACTGTATGCAGATTGGCTTCGCTTGAGCACGAGTCCCTCACCCCTAAATAAGCTGTGAGGAACATGGCTGGCTTCAATATTCCGAGCATACCTTTCTTCTACAATATCCTCCAAGAAGCTCTCCACATCTTCAGCGGTTTTGCCAACTCGTTGCGTCACAAATTCCAAACGACCGGGTACCTCCTTGAATAATCCAAGGTTTTTAAGGGTCTGCAACCTGACGTTTAACGTCTTCCGGGTTAATAAAGTAGGTGCGCGAGCCCCCTCGAGATTGATGTAAAGAAGGTCAAAAATCTTGACTGAAGAAACTAGGCGTCAAGACTGCCGGCACGGAACAAACATACACGTACAACATGGTCGAGGCTTGTCGGGATCATTTGATTTATCTTGAATATTCGTAAGCCTCAGGTTGAGGTGTATATACTTCGTATTATTTCTTACCAAGTGCCGACGTCTTAAGCTTGCCGAACGGAAGGTACTTCTCGATGCTTGGATCCCATACCAACATCTCCCCATCAAGGATGACGCTGTGGGTTTTCAAACGGCCGACAATGAGGCGAGGTTTCTTACATGCAACGACTGACACTCACTCCTTTACTTTGGAATGAAACGCATCAACAATAAATGGTGTCAATGATCCTTCACTTCTGTTTCCGCCATATAGATATGTGTAATCTTTCCCTTTTCTATGAATGGTTGTGGGAACAGTACAAACATCTGAGGACAACGGAGTTCATTTACCTTGAACAGTAAAAGAATTCATTTCCACGCTTGTGGAGCTGCAACCTTTCTCCATCCAATTTCTCTTCCATGAAGAAGCCCTCGGCGCTGGGCCTCGTATTCCTTCCTTCGTTGCTGGGATTTGAATCGTCAGGACCATCATTCATAGTGACTAGCTTTACTGCGTCCCGAAGAGTCTTCGTCCTGCCACAAAGCATCGGCTGAAATGGCTTGAAAAGGCGAACGGCCTTTTCCTGTATCGAAGCACACCGAAGCCCATCAGCATCTATAGCTCATATCGGTTGAATAGTCATTGCCATACCTCCTCATGCAGGCGGTAGTTGGGATCAGCGAGGTCCCAGGAAACTTTCTTCAGGTCAGAGCAAGTGTTGAAAAGATCGATTGCATCGGGGTGGAACACAGAAAACACGGTGGTCTCTTTCACGCCGATGCCTAAATCTGGAACATACTGTAAATCTATCGCCCACCCATTGGTGAAAGCCTGCTCAAGAGACCTTACCTTTGAGTATGATTCGGACTATCCAGCGAATCTCGTTCGCAGTACACTTCTCCGCAAATGTGCTGAATATCCTTGCTACCTGTTGTCTATGAGGGCGTCAGAAATACATTCCCAACAACGCGGAGAGCAGCTGACCTTCGTTCGGCATCTTTACCACTTGGACGGAACCCCTGGCTAAGCTCATCCAGCAGGTCATTAAGATCCCCTATCGTCATTGTTCCAGTAATGACTGAAGATCGTGTGGCGATAGTTTGATACAGAACACTCGGGAAATCTCCTGTCGCCTTCACCTGGGTCCTGGACTGCACAATGGTACTGGATAAGAGAGATGCGTGCATTTCATATTACAAAGCTACTTACGTATGCATGCGGGTCGGGGTCCGGTTTCTTCCAATTAATCAGTGACTGAGCATCCTTAGATTTCTCGCTCATTCCGAATGCCTGGATGAATGCTTTCGCCAAAGTCACCTCCTTGTAGCCATATGTGGCTCTTTCCCTGTCTTTCTGTGAGCCGTGCCTCAGTACTCGTTCCAAATTTCCCTAATCCGTATACTCACATGAGGCAAAAGCAGACGAAGGACTGGATACAGATCGGGCCCAACTTGTTGCCTCCAGCGCTGTGCAGAGCGAGACGATTCAATGACCAATCAATTCGCGGGAAAAACTACGGAAGGACTTACATCAAACCAGAGCCCCATGTACATGCGTTTTTTATCAGGCTTCAACTTCTGGGTTGGCTGGGAACAAAGGTCGAAAAACTCGGTTAGCGCGTGGATCGAGGGTGGGGGTCCATGAGGAGCCAAGTGAGGTGGACACGCCAGAGACCCATCCTCACGAGAAAAATTCTGCACACTGCTTCCTCGTTGCATCGTGAGCGGTCGAACTTGACGTTCGCGATTGGTTTGGCCCTCGGTGCCGAACGCTGTGTGATTATGCTTAATTGAAATGCCGCCTCATTTCAAAATCCCATTCAGGGAACTATATATGTAGTGGATCGGTGAGCCTGATATTCTGGATCGGAAAAGTCGTTAGAGGATTCCTGTTTCTGTGTATTCAGGAGTGGAGCATAAATCCGCAGCCCCCTCTACGTAACGGAGTGCGGGAGTAATCAATTAATTAGATGTTTTCAAACCTCAATTTTTCGCCCAGGTAGCTTCGTTTCATCCCTCACGCTTCCCGCAGTTTCACCGACGATCCAAAGTGGTCGAGGCAACAGCGTTTTAGGTAAGGATAATAGAGAAATTTTCACCGCACTTGGAAGGTCAGTAACTAAAGAAAAGAAAAAAACGACGGCGTCAGCGGCTTCTTCAGCCCACCCATCGCCGCAGGGAGTTATGATAACTGCGCTGCAAGCACACAAACCAACAAAATCAACAGAATATATGTACAGTCGATCGCAACGCTGTTCGTTCCACCAGATACATTGAGGCCTTAAGGAGCGAAGGAATGTGACATTTCGATTCTCATGGCGTCTGGGTACAGTGTAGTGTACAGGGGATGGCGCGTGTCATCGAGTGGATGAGAGGATTCACAAACAACGCAAAGGGGGCGAATGAGCACCCTCAACCGTCTGGAAACTGGGCTGCGCCACACGTGCAATCCTAGAACTTATCCGAGATGAGTGTCGCCTTCAAGCTTGGCCTGGGCGTTACATTGGTACTCGGAACAGGAGAATAATTTTGCCTAGAATTCATTTGGACGGTAGTGATTCATCGCGGCTTAACCAAAGGCACAGGTTTATATGCAAGCGACGGCTGCCTTCATGGAGTAGTTCCATACCCCCATTCCACTTTTCGCGAACGTTTGGAGATCTTTCCCGCTGAGAATCTCCGAACATACGATTCGCTGTGAAGCGGTAACTGGGCCGCTTCGTTTGACCAGGATTAGAGTATTTGGTCCTAACAGACCAAGCAGTCCACACCCGACGACTAGCAGCTTGCCACTTGGAAGCAGATTGCTGCTCTGTGAAGAACGTGAGAGGAAGGGGAGTATGGACATTCGGATCTTTACATCGTATTTGGCTGGCTATCCAATTGCACCGGCAGGGGATCAAAAGCGAACCAGGCGGACATGTACACATGTACGGAAGCGGCTCCTCCCGCATGCTGCACTTCAGCCTTTCCGGGATGGAAGAAATCTCTTCCTTGGCGATATCGGAATGGGATATCACTCGGACGAATCGATACGTGTCCCCTAGGTCTCTTGCTGAGTGGTCTATTCTATGTGATATCTCGATGCTTCGTTGTTGAAACGCGTGGTTGATATTACTATCATGTGGAACCTATCCCTACTATGAATCTGTCGTCACGGTGCGAAACGAAATGTTGGGGGGCATCCAATTAACAACAGCTTGGATTTCCCGGTAATCAAGAATGCATTGAGCTTCCCGTAAACACACACAAACAAAGCAACCACATCTGACGTGCGCGCAGGTTCCACCAGAACAGATCTAGAGAGCTCACACAGCTGATTGGCCCGGGCAAGATTGGTACCAAGTTTGGAAATGGTTCATGTTCCGCTTTGCGGAGCATACCGCCATGATTGCTCGGGATCCCATTTGAGCTTCCGATTCCAAACATATTTATTCCTGGGTCTACTCTGCCCCTTACTATCGATCTCTGTCCTCAGTCTCTTTCATGCTGAGCCACCTCGCGCTTCCAGTGTTCCATGCTTCCACCCACGAATGCCTTGGAATCGGGCTTGCTGCGATCTATCCTGCGTTGCTTCGAATCAAGCTCATGCGCAACCTAGCGATTGCCAGAACTACCCAACCCGCTATACGCTCCGTCATATGCCAACAGGCACGGATACAGAGTTTAAAATGAATCACACACGCACCCACTACCCAACGAACGTCCTACGCGAGAACGACACAAGCTATATGTTAAGATTCCACTGGTGTCGTCTCTGGATCTGCCCCCCTTGAAGCGCTGAAACTGGGGGAATTTTCTTAATCAACATCTAAGATCCCGATCGCGTCGATTCGTAGAAGCTGAAATATATGCGCCAAAGTATGAAGAATTGCTCTTGAACATTTGGGACTTGGGTGGTCGAAGCTCGAAAATGGTGCACATTCGGGATTCTGTGGGGCTATCATTCCGCTTCGTGTCCGCTGCCGGCATAGCATAGAAACAAGTTAACTTGATTGCGTACCTGGAAACGCTCCTTTGGGTTCTCGCTCACAATGTCGCGCGACATCCAACTTTAAGCATTCAAGGCCTGGTGCTCAGTTCCTTGCGAGATGTGAGCACTACTATATCAGTGACAGGAATGGCATTTCGAGAGCGGCATGAAGTCTCGAATTTCTATTTTGTGTACAAAAGACCGCTTCATAAACAATAGTTTGTTCGTTCAGGGGGTACTCTGCGGAGCCACGCCCATGAATGTGTCAAACGTCATATGCCCCCCCGAGTTTCCTGGTCAACGTGAGCGTCCTGGCAGTTCACTTCCCTGTATCCTCCGCCAAACATCCTACACAAGCGGCGCAACCAGCTCTGAAGTGAAGGCGAGGACCTGTCTGATGTGATGTGGCTAGGTACTCCCGTGAACCTCCGTTTGGCTGGAATGATGTCATCGAGGGGGCCATTATGCCAAGCTGTGAACTGATGCAGGGCCTTAGGTTCACCGTGTGCGTCACATCGACAGAGAATCCAACCAGGCATATAGAAAAACGATTCCAAGTCATGTCGGTAAAGCCGCTTAGGAGGGAACCCGCAGCAGATAGGAGATCCATGGAAAGAAATGGCAGCAAAAGAGGGCTCGGGTGAGACGTCTTTGTCTCCATCTCGGACTTGGATTGCAAAATCAAGATCCAGTAGGATCCCGCGAGTGGGTGTCTCCCTCAACACCATGAGACTGCTCACGTTGTTATTGCAGTGAAGAATTCCTGCATCCTTATAGAGTCGATGATGGACTACAATCGATGCTGAGTTAGGGGGTGTATGAGAACACTGGTTATGGGAGTGCCTTCAACTAAAGACCAGAATGCACATTCAAAGTCTTTGACGGGGAGAGTGCGGTAAAGTGGAACGCATGACGGTCCCAGTATTTGCACTCGCAGCTCCCGATCTTGATAATGTATTCTGTTGAGTGGAGTTCTGAAAGGCGTCCCAGGGTGGTGGAGCAATACAGCCGGGCTACTCCATGCACGCCGTGTCGCTCAGCCCGACGATAGAGGATGTCGGATTTTTCCAACGTTGCATGCTCCCATGAAAGTTTGATGATTACATCCTCTGGGATGCTCTGGGATGTGGTGCAGTCGGAGACAGGTTGTTTCTTGTCGCAGAATAAAACAACCCACGATCTTCAAGGTCGCAGGAGATATGCAAAGTATTTTGCAGTAAGAAAGGTATGCCATGAATGGTGATTTCCCTTGTGTTGAAGGCCCCCCATGGGTCGGGCGATTGTATGGCAGGCTCCAAGCCAAGAGTGAACGCGGTACTGAGAGAGTGCTTGACGAGGTCAGTAGGTGTCGAACAGAAGCCTCCGCCTCGGTCAAAATACCAGAAAACGATGTTTGAGTGGTCGACCAGGATACCGATGGTATGTCTCCTGTTACCCCTATGTGCCATGACATCTTTTGCTCTTGCGTGAATACTATTCTAGATTGAACTGCACATAGGTTTCGTCTGACAACGGACACGACAGAATACTAGTCCCCTTGGGACCCAGAGCTCGGGCAGTTTGTAGTAAGCGGAAGCCCCTACGACGCAAGAATAACCAGCCGAAATGACTCAGGAACGGAAAGAGAATCGGAGGACCAAGTGCATCAGTGGTATTCATAAGCGTGGTTGCAGTTTCGAATGGGGAGAATTCAGGGCATAATTGCTTTCCAGTTGCGGGATTGGGTGCGGTCTACGGTCGGTTGGTTTCGCTACACTGGACAAAGTGTCACCATCTACGCAATAACTAGCGGTGCGAAAGCCGATGAGCTGTTTAACTTTGTGCAAGGTCAGAAAGAGATCGCGAGGCGTATTTGAAATCTGGATTTGCGGGAGGCACATAGCAGATCAATACATCGGGGATCTGTGTTAGAATTCATAGCTTAAGAAGCGGCGCGCATTCTTCGATGTGAGCGAGGAATCTTTGAAGTCCTGGATGAAAGGATCAGTCGGCCCAGTCACAAAATACAGATCGACTTGCATCGCTTTGGACTATCACCCTGTTTCAGGTAGCTACATAATCGAGAACATCTCGCACGCTAAAAGTTGAAAGTGCATCTAATGTGTTGAAAGTGAAGCAAATCGAGTCAAGCTCGCTTGTGACCCCGAGAGTATATATATAGAGATTATGGGGACTCTGAAGCAATGAATTTTCCAGTTCCAGCGCTTCCACTTGTGTGGGGTCCGAAGGATGTTACGGTAAAGACTGCGGGACGAGCGATGGAAGCAAATCTCAACGAGAACCTCGTTTTTGTTCCCAAGCACAACTTTGCTCACAGAACCAAGTTTCGTCGCCTCTTCATCGCTGGGCATTCTCACAGTAAATGTAAGCCTGCAGTGCTCTCTCGTCCCCGCGTGTTAGGTAGTCGAGCCAGCTGGGCCAACGCCCACTCCCTACCCCACCAAGAGTATAAAAATTCTTCGATACTAATGAGAGAGTAGGTTCACACCTTGATCGAGGGTAGAGAGTGTCGGCAGCTGCAGAGTGGGTATCGCACGCGCTTGAATGTCGACGCCACCGACGTGATAGCATGGAGTGCGGTTATGACAGGCACCGCACCCTCCAAACGCTTACAGCAGTTTGAAGCGCGTCATCGATCAAGCCATGTTCAAAGGACAGGCGTGAGGCGGCACACGGCGATCGCGAAGATAAGACGCTCGATATGCAGGGTCTTTGGATTTTGGTGTTGAACTGTCGGCAACCGCATCCACTAGAAGGAAGTTAAATGGCCAGCACAGTGGGAAGCAGCGGCGGATTGTGGGGACTGACGATCAATACCAGTATTCAACCCTTTCGGACAGATAACGCAAGTACCACAGGATGAATCTCGCCGACTCTGTTCGTCCTGCCAACAGCGGTTACTCGCTTGGACAAGGAGACGACCACCCCGTTAAAAATTTCCGCTGTAATCCGACATAACCCGCGAGAGAAACTGGCCTTGAAAGGGTTTCCTATATGGGGCAAAAAAGCACAGGATAATAACCAGCTTAATGTTGAGGTTCAACGTCGGCAAGGCACAACCCGAGGGGCATGGAAGTCGCGCGAGAAATTCCCTCACAATATGTTGGGGATCCATATAGACTGACCTGACCTCATTGGAGCGGTCTTTCGCGTTCCGCTCGTGTGCATAACTGGATGCCCGAGAAGCGGCAAATCCCGCCATTCCCCGTTATGCTGCTCAGGTGCTAAGCTGTCGGCAGCTGCCCCCAGTTTGATTGGTCAACAGAGTGGAAAGCGACCTGGCGATGAAGATCAGCACTTGGGACGGATGGCGCAAGTGCACAGGATGGATTTCGCCAACTTGTCATAGCGGCTACCGCTTGGACAAGAAGACGAGCACTCAGTTGGACCGATGGATATAAAGTTTTGATTTATTTGCCGCTGTAATCTGCAAGAGAAACCGGCTTTGAAGGAATGACCTGGGGACAACCTGATCCTTACCCCTTTGTATTGCGCATTAAGGGACAGCGGCGGTACTGGGGGCACAGTGTAGTCTCGCGATTGAATGACAGACTCTGGTATATCACTTGCTATCACGCACGGTCAAAAACAAGACCGGGGGCGATTACTGTACTCGTTTCCATGATTCAATGGTGTCCTCGGCATGAAACCGGTACAACACACATCTCGTAATTTCCCAATGCTGCCGTAATGCAATTGAACTCACATGGCATGGAGTGGTATGGGTATTGCACCAAGATGGTTCCCTAGCGACTCCATCTCGGGGATGTTACCAATATTCTGCATCTTCCTTGTTATCCTGGTTTTAATTGACGGGGATCACCACACATTATAAAGTTCATCCCACCCATCGCTTGGCGCATAGTTCCGTAGGATTTTTGTGTTTCTGGATCAAGCCCACGATGGTGGGCATTCTCGCCAGGAATGTTCGCGAAACCATCAAATATTTAGGTATCCCTTTCTTGACCAGAAGTGAACAAGTTGACGGATTTTGTTCGAACCAGGCATTGCTGCTACGTTGAGTCGTCAGACCGAACAATACAATGCAGGGCCTCTCCAGCAATCAAAAGCGCCATAACCCCCGTGTACGCCCCTTTGGCCAGCTTTCCAGCAACATTCTCCTTTTTGAAGTATTTCGTCACCGGCTGAATCACTCGAGGTTTTCCTATCCCCCCTTCCCCCGTTAGAAACATCAAGAGCTGCTCTGGTGCTTACTCGCTGCTCGATGGTGCATCCTAAACTTGGTTCGATTGCTCGAAGATCTGCTCGCCTCGCTCCAAAAGGTCGGACGGCATGCTGAGGCACTCGTGGTGGCCATAGAATGTGTGAAATTCTGTCGCCAGCGAGTTTCCCTTGATCCAGCATCACACAGTACCATAGCTCTCATTCCGGCCTGATGATGAAATGTGAAACTCTCGATGCTGCCTGAATCTCACAATTCAATCCAAGTATAAGTCTGCAGGTCTAGATCATGATCATACTACAATGAAAACAGGATAAAGATGAAACGAACGATGCCAAATTATCGAAACCGTCCAGTAGCTCTCGACGCTGCTCTCATGCCGAACTCACAATCACCCAATTCTCAGACAGACATACTATCGTAGTGCCATATTATTACCGAATGCGGTCGCAGGCGGAACACAATTATTGAATACCGCGATTGCCATAAGAGGTTTCCACTGGCGTCCGCCTTTATCTAGCCTCAAGGCTACCACCTGCTAATCCCTGGGCTTAATCGACTCGCACTTTGCAGATGTCGTCCAAACCTCCCTACCAGCTCCCCTTGGATGAGATCCTTGAGGTGGATCCACGAAATCTTTCTGGAAAAGTGAGCTTTGATTGGAAGCTACCCAAGGGGCATGGTGGATTTGGTGATGTCTACCAGGGTACTTATCGTGAAAGTGTAAGTACACCAACAATCACCCTACAGGAGTGTTCAGCCATGATCACACACTGTTGGCGTTGTTAGCAGTCATCCCGCGATGAACGCGCCTGCGTCAAAGTCTTGAAGGTTGTTCCCATCTTCGAGCAAAAACAGTTCATAAAGAGCCTTCGAGTATGTATGCCTTCAAGTCGCGTCCATCGGAGGCGAATTGACTCAGTAGTTCTGTCTGGCAGCGAATGAAGCGTGAAATAAAGATCTGGTGCAATCTAAGTCACCCGAACATCGTCGAATTCCATGGGTGGATGTTAGAGACAAATGACGGTATCATTCGTGCGAGCTTAATTTCAGCGTGGTGCGACGGAGGAGAGGTGAAAACGTACCTTCACCAGTATCCAAACGCTGACCGGCACGGATTGGTGGGATTGGGCTGTCGCTGAAATGGATGGGGTGTCTCATTTTGTTCTTAGGTTCTTGATGCTGCACAAGGGCTAGCTTATCTCCACTCAAAGAGATTGTTCACGGCGATGTCAAATCGGTGCGCAACCAATTGATCTTTTTTTTTACACTTGGCTCGATCGGCGTGGTTCTAACCGACGGTGTATAACATAGAGCAACATTGTGGTATCATGTGCAGATGAGACCGCCAAGTTGTGCGATTTCGGACTGTCCTCCATCCTTGATGATATTACTACATACGCGCAGTCGACGAGCACCCAGGGAACGATTCGCTTTGTATCCCCTGAGTTATTGGGCGGTACTTCGGAGGGACGCAACAAAATGAGCGATGTATGGGCATTTGGATGTGCGTCAATGGAGGTTGGTCCTCACGTCCCAGACGGATAGGGTCCACTTATGTTCTGGAGCAGATTCTTCACGACAAGCCTCCGTATGCCTGGGTGCGTTCCGAATTCGGAATCCCAATGGTTGCTCTCTCGGCACTTCCATATAGGCTTGATGATCCAGACGCTGTCTCTGCATTTCTTTCTACCTGCTTCGCACGCTCGCCTGGTGAGCGCCCCGTTATGAGCGACATTACGGCGAAGCTTTGGTATGCAGTTATATGTCATTGTCTGCATGATTCTTGGTCTCACGCGGCCCCTTCTCAAGCTCATTGCTATACACTTCCATCGCCCTTCAGGATCTGCGTGCACTAGACAGCCTACCGCTCATTTGGCGGTATCTACCAAATGACGATATTCCTGATCTTCGTGCCGAATTCGAGAAACTTGTGCCATCTTCGCTCCAGTCTATATGCTGCGATTGGTATGGGACCGTGTGTCAATCTAGACGCGGAGACAAGCGAGTGCTCATTGCTCTGAGGGAAGCTGTTCCTGAGTTGCTCTACTGGATTGCCGCAATGGGAATCATGGGTAAAATCGATCAAGTTCTGACAGGTCTGTATGATCTAGGAAAATGGGCTGTAGGTACTTGGGCTTCTTCGAGTGGCATCGACTCATACCTTTCCGTGAAGGGTGATTCGCAACTCCAAGCAATCCTCCAGTCGCTATACAGGATGGTATCCCAGTCGCGCGCTGCATTTAGTAGATGTTCACTATCCATTCTCGCTGGTTCCCATCCTTTTTTGCCGACAAGCTCCGCATTGCAGTCCACATTCCCTCAGTTATTTTCCCGACATTGTCGCGCGATGGTCACCGGGATGTCGTTCAAGTCGGATGCATGGTCTCCGCTAGTCTCAGTTCTGAGACACAACAGCCCCGTGTATTCCGTAGCATTGTCCTTCGACGGGCATTACCTGGCCTCGGCTTCTGACGACAAGACGGTGCAGATATGGGATGTTGCTTCGGGTACAACCGCTGCCGTGCTCAATGGGCATTCCGATTCGGTGCATTCGGTAGCATTCTCAGCGGATGGGCGTTGCTTGGCTTCCGCCTCCAATGACAAGACAGTACAAATATGGGATGTCGCGTCGAGGGTGACTTCTGCTACGCTACACGGACATACCAACTGGATGTGTTGTATAGTATTTTCTCCAAATGGACGTCGCTTGGCGTCGGGCTCTGATGTATTGGTGCGGATATGGGACATCGCCTCAGGGGCAGTCACTCTCCTCAGTGGACATACCGAAGGCGTGAAGTCTGTAACATTCTCGCTGGATGGATGTCGCTTGGCCTCAGCCTCTGAAGACAAGACAGTCCGGATATGGGATGTTGCATCAGAGACAATCTCCACCGTTCTCAGTGGGCATGTGGACTGGGTGAATTCCGTATCCTTCTCCCTAGATGGAGGCCACTTGGCCACAAGCTCGTCTGATAATACGGTGCGGATATGGAATGTTGCATCAGGAACAACTTCCGCGGTTCTCACTGGGCACACGGACCCGGTGCACTCTGTGACCTTCTCCCCAGATGGACATCGGTTGGCCTCGAGCTCCTCTGACAAGACAGTACGGGTATGGGATGTAGCATCACGGAAGGTTTGTGCTGTGCTCAGCGGGCATACAGACTGGGTGCGTTCTGTGGCGTTCGCCTCTGACTGTCGTCGCCTGGCCTCGGCCTCTGACGATAAGACAGTGAGGATATGGGATGTTGCTTCGGTGGAAGATATTAACGTAGTCAGCGGACATTCCGACACAGTACATTCTGTCGCAATCTCTCCAGAAGGGCGCCGCTTGGCCTCAGCCTCCGGCGATGGGACGGTTCGGATATGGGATGTTGCATCAGGGACGGTTTCTGCGGTTCTCACTGGGCACGCTGACTGGGTACATTTGGTGGCCTTCTCCCCAGATGGATGTCATTTGGCTTCCGGCTCCTTTGACAAAACAACGCGGATATGGGATATTGCATCAGGGACAACTTCCAATGTGCTTGATGGCCATGCCGGCTTGGTGCGGTCCGTATCATTCTCCCCAGACGGACGTCATTTAGCTTCGGTCTCCTCTGACGAGAAGGTACGATTATGGAATATTGGGACGGGCACCTGCTTGGGAGGGCAGTGGTTTCCCAACCCTACATCAGTTTCGTTCTCAAATGATGGGGCTTGTTTGGCTGTTCATTCCGACGTCGGAACGCAATATGTGCACTCCTTGGCACTGACAACGATGACGGCGTCCGAAGCCCACCAGCACTGCCCTTCCAACACCGCTGCGCTGGGTGGCAGGTACACGTTGCAGCACCGCAGTCTCTGTGTGAAGCATCAAGACGCAACACTTCATATTTGCTGGCTGCCTGACTTCTTTGAAGCGAGCACGACTGTCAATTATGATAAAGACAAGGTGTGGATCGGTGGACAGGGGGGTGAGATTATTTTTGTGGATCTATCGGAGTTTAAACTGCCCACGGTATGACCAATTGGATCTGTGTGTTGTACTTATAGGGCTTAAACCATAAACTTGCGTGACATCGACTTCCGCCACCTCACAATCAGTATCCTGACTTGTAGTGACATAAACTATGCTCCTTGATCTTTCGCAATACTGAAGATTCCGCCCGTCGTTCAAGGTTTGTTCCGGTTACCCTTCTGCCTAGCTACATTTACGATGCCGATGGTATCCTTGGGTGGTGTGTATGGGTATTAACGCATTGAAATATCTAGATGGTCCTCTCGCCTGTTGAACTGTCGACTTGCTTTGGATCCCGAAGGCGCTTTCTGATTAGGTGATCATTTTAGTTCCCCTCAACAGAAGCCCGTCCTGCACTGGTATTTGGGTCAATTCCCACATATGGTTCTTTCTGTCGATCAACGGGGATAACGGCTTGCAGGTAGCTTGTCTTAAGTGGAGCTGACGAAATCTCCGGTTTCTCGTAACGATAATTTTCAGGACGTCCATTGCTTACATAGGCAGCTCCTTCGATCACGGTTGTATGCAAACAGACCGATTGCAGATAGATTCTCCAGGTGTCCCTCTCGATTATCGAGCCTGCTGATCCTGAGAAGCGCAGCCAGCCTCCAGAACCCCCCCTACGTGGGCCTGTGTGCATCTCCCGGGAACCACCCTCAAGCCTCTAAACGTAATGGCATCCCTGGATTTGAGGCGCAGAACATATTCCAATCTAGACAATATGAACAATTAGGTCTAAGACGAGACGCATCTCTCGTTAGCTCCGTCCTCTAGCTCAACCAGATCCAAAGGCTACTTGTGAGCAAAGCCTTCTCCGCGATCTTCTCAGCTGTCGATGCCTGCAGCGGACGCGAAATGAAAAAGAGACGCAACATAAGCTGGAGCTTCGAGCCCAAGAGAGTAGAGGGAGTTTTCCGCCGTGCCAGAACAGTTCATGTCCGGGACCATGCATGTGCTGGCTCAGTGCTACCTCGCTTCTAGTATCGAGGCGTTGAAATTCATGGATATCGCTTACACATTCAACGGACTTTCGGGGTTGGGAACAGAACAGGCAAGTGCGTGTGCGATAAGGAGGAACGCAGATCACAGAAACCACGAGTCATTATGTATAAAGGAAGGGAGGAAAGCGTATGAGTCCTGTGTTGGTGATCACGGCCGTATTTTGGACCATCATTTACATAAAGTGATGTGATACGTACACTGAATGTCGACTGAAAAATGAAAATGCCTCGTGATGTCACAAATCCGTTCAGCTCTCCTCACATGCAGCTGAGGCAATGCACACACAGCCTCGTTGGACTGAAACGAGAACGCTGAACCGGGATACAATATATGCATTCGGTCCACAATACACCCCGTGAAATCAATATAAGGGGGAAAGCAAGGGCATGAAGCAGCTACCATATGCGTGTGGTAGTTCTCCAGCTAGTATATAAGTGTCGATCAAATAACTGGTATGTTGGCGCCTCATTCCACTGATCCCCCCATCACCGACCATGTCGCTGGAGCAAAAGGCTAATTCTCTTGAGCGCAGGGTCGATGGTCTCGTTGCAGCAGGCGGTGACTTCGCTATCCCTGTCCTCGCAGCCATCAGTTCTAGGCTTGATGTTTTCCCTCCTGTTAAAAGCGCCACCAGTGGTGCCCTCTTCATCTTCAACCAGGTCAAAGTGGGTAATTGTGTTTCATCACGTATAGAGGCTAACGTTTTGCGTTATGCAGGAATCTCAAGAAAACAAGGAAACGTGGGCAAGCTTTGGCAAATATGTAGTGGACGTCGTGGCAGATGCAGTTATATCAACTAAATCCTATGCTCGATGCGCTGGAGAAGTCAAGCCGTGGGCGGAGAGCATCACGAAACTCAACGAGTAAGTCGTCTTTATGTTTTGTTGTCCTTAATACTCTTATTATGTACCACACAGCGTGCTGCATGAGATTACGTATCAGATGAGAGCGGAAATGGTGGGACCGTTGGCTATCATGAATCCATCATTGGACTTGAGGGAAAGACTGAGGAAATATCTTGACGGGGCGTTGGCATCATTTCAGGTTACTTTGCTTCACGATCTTCTCTCTTGTCTTCCTTATCCCCGAATCTTGTAGCTCAAGACGATCTCAACAGTCAGTCTCACATCGTCTGGCAAAGAAAACTTCCAAGACCATCCAGCTTGCAGGCAGTGGGACGATCTAGTCTTCAGTCAGCTCCTCTACCCCCGTGATGCTCATCACGATCCGAGAAAGGCTTGTTTGAAGGGCACCAGGGCTGCACTCATCAAACGCATCATGGCATGGTGTCGCAGCACAGAGGATAGCGAGACGCGTATGATGCTCCTGACCGCCGTAGCTGGTGCTGGGAAAACGGCGATTGCCCACTCAATCGCGGAACGATGTGTGAGAGAAGGGATACTGTTGTCAAGTTTCTTCTTCAAAGCGGGAGAACCGTGGCGGCCCGACTCCATGTTCAGCGCAATAGCTAGATCATTGGCTGCCTATGATCCCGTTTACCGCGCCTTCATTAACTCCACTCTTCGGAAAGACCCTTCCCTCTCAAGCGCTCCGTTCACAACGCAGTTCAGGAGATTGGTTGCCGATCCTCTCCGCCTAAGACCTCCATCTTCCCACCGTCCCGCGGTGATTGTCATTGATGCTTTGGACGAATGCGAGCGGAATGCGTTTATGCTCCTTGCTGATGTATTTCGGAAAGAAGTGTCTAAGTTGCCGTTTTCTGTCAAGATCTTTCTCACTTCGAGGGAGGTTAGCCTCGTGAATGATTCCCTCTCCCTGTTCCCTCTTATCCAACGACTCAACATTAATCTTTCGAGTGGGGAGAACATGCACGGCTGTGCCAAGTATGTCTGCTCCCAATTACGCTACTTGAAAGGGCCTCCTCTTGGCCCCACGGAGCAAGATACCTTGGCACGACGGCTCTCAGAGCAGTCAGGTGGCTTGTTCATTTGGATCAACGCTATCTTTCGCCACGTGAAGACAACCAATGAGGCATCGGTGGCGACGTTGAAGGGACTATTAGAGACCAGTGCCGACCGGACAGGGGTTTTCGCTGAGATCATGGCTGAATTTTACACCTCCGTATTAGAGAAATGCAACTGGGAGGATGAGACCTTTGCCCATGATTATCCAATCGTGTTGGGAGCAATTTTAAACTCACGGCAGCCGCTTTGTATTGCGGCCTGGGATGCCATTCTATCGTCGTCGCTTCAATCCTCTGTCAAATATACCCTAACCGCACTCGACCCCGTTTTGATGGGGGTTGCAGACCCTCACACGCCAATTCGCTTGTTGGACCAATCTTTTCATCGCTTTATCATAGCTAGAACTGGTTCGCGACCGTCTGGCCTTCGCCGTTATGTGCTGGAGGCGAAGAAAGGGTGTGCTTGGATGGCTACGCGCTGCGTCGAAATTTTGAGGGAGGGTCTCCCTTCGACAGAAGGTTTGGGGTTGATTAGAGATCTGCAGAGAGAAACCGAACTGCCATGCATCCCTTCAGAGACGCTATCCGAGCACTTCCGTTACGCGTGTCGCCAGGTGGTTTATCATCTTAATCAAGTTCAGGAGCCGTCAGAAACCCTCCAGGGGTTGGTTCGCACGTTTCTCGATCAGCACATAATTCAATGGGTGGAAGTTTGTGTGAGATCAGGGCAGTACATTAGCATATCGTCACTCCCAGAGTGGGCGAAGGTATGAATCATCATACAGCATTCATGAAACCATTTTTAATTTCATCTCATTTTTCTCTACAAGCTGGGTCTTGGTTCAACTTCAAAGGAGGCCGCCCACATGTTGGTCAAAGTACTCACCAAGCTTGGGGGGAATTTGGCATATTTTTCAAGGTTCGAAGAGGCACATGAGGCAGTAGATGGATCTGTTGTACTCTGTCGTTTGCTTGTATCTATGGGCTCAGAGTCCTACGACTTAGATTTGGCTCAATTGCTCACAGATCTGCTCACATCACTCCACAAGGTCAGACGGCATTCCAGGGCAATCACAGTGGTCGAAGAATGTGTCAAACTCTGTCGCGAGCTAGTTGCCCTTGATCCAGCATCACACAACCCAAATATGGCTGACTCCCTTCTCAATCAAGCCGTCACACTCCACAATCTCGGACGAAATTCTGAGGCACTCCAAGTGTATGAAGAATGTGTCAAACTCCATCGCGAGCTAGTTGCCCTTGACCCAGCATCACATAACCCGAAGTTGGCTGACTCCCTCCACAATCAAGCCGACACACTCCACAATCTCGGACGATATTCCGAGGCACTCCAAGTGAATGAAGAATGTGTCAAACTCCGTCGCGAGCTAGTTGCCCTCGATCCGGCATCATACAACCCAAATTTGGCTTCCTCCCTCTACAATCAAGCCGTCACACTCCACAATCTCGGACGAAATTCCGAGGCACTCCAAGTGGATGAAGAATGTGTCAAACTCCGTCGCGAGCTAGTTGCCCTCGATCCAGCATCACACAACCCAAAGTTGGCTGACTCCCTCTACAATCAAGCCATCACACTCCACAATCTCGGACGAAATTCCGAGGCACTCCAAGTGGATGAAGAATGTGTCAAACTCCGTCGCGAGCTAGTTGCCCTCGATCCGGCATCACACAACCCAAAGTTGGCTGACTCCCTCTACAATCAAGCCGTCACACTCCACAATCTCGGACGAAATTCTGAGGCACTCCAAGTGGATGAAGAATGTGTCAAACTCCGTCGCGAGCTAGTTGCCCTTGATCCGGCATCACACAACCCAAAGTTGGCTTCCTCCCTCCACAATCAAGCCGTCACACTCCACAATCTCGGACGATATTCCGAGGCACTCCAAGTGAATGAAGAATGTGTCAAACTCCGTCGCGAGCTAGTTGCCCTTGATCCAGCATCACACAACCTAAAGTTGGCTTCCTCCCTCCACAATCAAGCCGTCACACTCCACAATCTCGGACGATATTCCGAGGCACTCCAAGTGAATGAAGAATGTGTCAAACTCCGTCGCGAGCTAGTTGCCCTTGATCCAGCATCATACAACCCAAAATTGGCTGACTCCCTCCACAATCAAACCATCACACTCCGCAATCTCGGACGAAATTCCGAGGCACTCCAAGTGTATGAAGAATGTGTCAAACTCCGTCACGAGCTAGTTGCCCTTGATCCAGCATCACATAACCCGAAGTTGGCTGACTCCCTTCACAATTAAGTGCATAACCCGCAAGGGAAACTGGCCTTGAAATGGTTTCCTACATGGGGCAAAAAGCACAGTATCATAACTCCCATAATCTTGAGGTTCAACGTCGGCGAGGCGCAACCCGAGGGGCATGGAAGACGCGCGAAAAATTCCTTCACAATGTTGGGATCCATATAAACTGATCTGATCTCATTGGAGCGGTCTTTCGCGCTCCGCTCGTGTGCATAACTGGACGCCCGAAAAGCAACAAATCCTGCCATTCCCCGTTGTGCTTATAACCCTCGACATGCAGGTACTTATTGGTCAACAGAGTGGAAAGCGGCCTGACGATGAAGATCAGCACTTGGGACAGATGGCGCAGGTGCACAGGATGGATTTTGCCGACTTGCCAATAGCGGCTACTTGCTTGGACAAGACGAGCAGGCCCCAGTTGGATCGATGGATATAAGGTTTTGATTTATTTGGCGCTGTAATCCGCAAGAGAAACCGGCCTTGAAGGAACGACCTGGGGGACGACCCGATCCTTACCGGAGTACTCCTGGCAGCAAATCCTGCCACTCCTCTTTGTATTGCGCATGCAGCAAGGATGAGGGGACAGTGGCGGTAGTGGGTGGCGGTAGTGGGGGCGCTGGGGCCACCGGTTACAGTGTAGTCTCGCGATTGAGGATTTCGTTCTGTACATGCATATGGTGAAAATGGCAGAGAGAGGGCGATTCATTCCTTGACAACGTCGCAGAATACCGGAACGATGGGCGAAATGAAATATTATCCGATGTACATAAGTACTCAATCGTCAGTATCCACAACACCAAGTGACCAAGTGCATTGGCAGAGTGATTTCTTGGATCCAAGGAACTCAAAAAATCTGATTGAAGGATTGACATGCACTCAACGCAGAGTGGTAACAGTCAGCGTTAACAATATGACGTAGATGTCGTCAGCGTCAAAATCGTGCATCGTTCATCGTTAAAGAGCCATCATGGCAACCGGGATTCCCAACATCATCGATTTATGCATGGTGGTATGGGAGCTAGGCTACTAATGAGCCACCGGCCTTTTTATCGAGGAATGAGCGAGTTTGTAAGAATGTGGGAACGAACCTTACCCGGGTCAAAAACTTCCAACCTTGGATGCTGAGGCTGAGGTGGAGAGTTAAGCATGGACAACTATTGAATGATGGAGCTGTTAACTTAGGGTTTGACGTAGACTATATCAGAGAGGACGCGCGAACCCTTGGGTGTTTGTAGGGTATTTGCAATATGAGAGAACCTTTATGGTTTGGGGATTGAAAAATTTACATGTCCTGCTACAGAATAGCGGGAATTACTACAGTATTACACAGGCAGAAAAAAATTTCGTGTCAAAATAATAGGCAACTTAAAAATACCGAGGCGGGTTGTCGGTGAGACCCACATTTTTAGCATCATGATATTTCGATTACGGTTCAAGTGGGCAAAAAAAAAAAATAGTCACACAGAACTAGAGGAGATATTCGATTGTCTCGTGTCAAGTCGTGAAGAAAGCAAAACGTGACGAAAGCGGTGAGAGATTAGTGACGAACCACGGCAACAATAAGGCCGCGACCGAAGAAGTGAACATCAAGAAGTCTCTTGACCTCGTGCCAATGGTGAGCGTTTGGCGAGGCTTCCCCGTACTGTAAGACAAAGTCCGCGGGAGATAATAAAGACCTCAGAAGTGATCCAAGTAAGAATGCAATTAGAGCAATTATAAACACGGTTGGGAGCGTGAAACGATGGGATAATAGTCGTGACGAGATGTCTTTGAGAGACACAAGCGAAATGGTAGAACGTTTATCCTGGTTGTTGGTAGGTATGGCCTTTTGTGATGTCCGTGTGCTAGTGTCGGAAGGAGAACGAGAGAGCCAGCGCCCGGGAATCGGGAGAGATGGCTTGTTTTGCCAGTAATTGAAAGTAAAGGGCCCTTCTGACGACCTTTTTAATAATGGGTTTGAATAGGAATTAAAAAGCTCCAACAGACTGTTGGAAGTCTCGGGAACAGCTTGTGTCGTGATGGGGGCCCCAGCATCAGGGGTGCTTGGCTGTAAAAATGATGAGACAACGGGGGGAAGTATGAGTAAATACGCCTCACCGCAGCTACTTCTTCGGCAATTTCGGAAGATGCAGACGTAGTGGGAGACTCGGAAGGTGGAGGGTTAACAAAAAAGTGCCACGACGAGGCCAAGGGGCGCCTCACAGACTTTGGTGAATCACCAGGTGTTGGGGCACTAGTGGGGAGTGGCTGAGTGTCCAGGCGTGTGAACAACTGTGTGAAACTTACCGTGTCAAGACAGGTAAAAGAACGTCCCTTGTCCCATTCTTGCGGTCCAACAGAACAGAAGAGCCATTTTCAGCAATCACTGGGACCGCTTCCCCATCAACCATTACGGCTGTTTTCAGAGAAGTGTCCGTAGGTGTGATCAAAATGTCAGTAAGGGCCCCCTGACGCTCCAGGTTCAGGAACCAATCAGGCTTCGGCTGCAACTCCAGGAGATGTTCCCTCAGTGGATCATCTATGGGCACTGAGGTGTGAGATCCACTCAGGACAAAGAATCGTAGGCGATGCAGACTGGAGAGGGAATTAGACGACAATGGAGAGGGTGGCACTTGTTCGATTTTGCAGGATGTAGGAAAGCTATGTTTCATTGCTGTGGGCGGGGTTGAGGTGGGATACTTGCATCCTAAATCCCAATGAGATGGGTCCAAAGGCAGGAGCTCCGTCCCGACCTTTACCTCGTAACCACGAGCAAATGATGTTGGATCAACGATCACTTCACCGATCAAGAAATTGTCACCCGAGTCACTTACTTCGCCACTGCGCGGCCGGCCTGTGGACGAGGGGAGACTAAGCAAGCGACGACGCATGGTAGACGAAGGCTGAGGACCGTGCGAATGAGCCCGGGCATAATCACCTCGCAGGCTATCCGTGCCACGGTCGTGTGGTGATGCTTGGCCGTTGCCATCCTTCACCGGTGTAGAGGGGCGGGAAGTAGATGATGTGTGGGGAAGCCTCGTAGACTCTTTCGATGACCATCTGGGTTTGATTAAAATACAGAATCGTTGGCTAGGGGGTTCTGAAGAAACCAATGATCCAAGAAAGGATCGCTCTGGATCCCCATTCTCCACAACCCACTCTGCCCCAACGATGGGCTCAGTCTGTCTGTCGTCTAACCCCACAGCAGAGGGTGGAATTGACAATGACGGAGATATTGACCTTCCCTTCATGTATTTCTCCAATGCGCCGATCGATCTTGTCACAAAGGATGCAATGTAGGACGCGTTGTAGCCAGAGGGAACAGAGCCAGCCAAATCAATCGCTGATACAAGCGTGCATTTTGTTGATGGTATTGCGAGATTCTCATCTGTGTAAGGGTCTAAAGTCTCCAAAACCCAACCTTCAAGTAGCACTTGACCCACTGGATAACCGGAAGGATTGATGAGTGAGGTTGTTAGAGAACGCGGAGGCTCCAGTCCAAAGGATGTGGTAACGTAGATGTACGTGCATGGTCGAGAAGTGGGGGCCTTTTGTGCAGCGCGTACCGGGCGATTGATGGACAAAGATCTGGGTCGGGGCACCCCAAGATCCATATCATCTTCAGCCTCTTCTTCCTGGATCGTTTTTGCCAGGACTGAAGCTAAAAAGAATGCTCGATCTCTGAATGGCAAACCTAACTTCGACACAATGAAGAAAGTTTGGCACCCTGAACCGAACGACTGCAGAGGTGTCACCGAATCTAGTGAGGTGTCCCATTGACTCCGCGAGAAACCGTATGAAACTGCAGTAACGAGGTCTTCTGCGCTAAAACCTTCGATGACTTTTTGCGCCTTGTGCACAGCAATACTCGAATGAACATCTGGGACTAATTTTTTGTACACGGGGACGTCCTTGGATCCCAGAGCCGTCCACCCATCCGCCACAGACGCAGCTCCGAATGCCCTAACTCGCGCTAAGGCATCAAAGGCGTAATCCATGGGTGGCTTCGATCGGTCAAAACGATTGGGCTGAATGGTCGATTCTTGTGACTGAGTTGAGCCAGGCTGGGGCATAAGACCAAGAGTAAGGATTTTTGTCATTCGCGGCCTGGTGAATGAAACTGCCAAGGAATCCCAGAAACCTGAGGACACTTCACTGGGGTATCGGGTTCGTCGTCATAAGTGCCTGCTCTACGACGCACTGTCATAACTGGAGGCCGGTCAAGGGGGTGCCGGGTAGGTTTGATGCGCCTCCTCTTGGACAAAGCTTTGAGTTCTTCCTCTGGAAGTTCTTCAACATCAACCCTCGCTTTCACGCCGTTGACGACAACTGAACCTCGCTCTTTGCCGCCAGGACCTTTCCGTACAACAACAGTCAACCTCTCATCAGTAAGCAGCGCTCCATCGTGCTCAATCGTGATCCATACCCCGCCTCCTTGGCTGGCGAACTTGTGCCTTCGAAGACAACTAATCGTCTGTGGCGCTGGATCTGCAATGATGTCAAGGCTGGCGCCCAGGTATCAATATCACACCTGATTTCGCATTCGATAGTGGTCGGTGAGTCCACGAAAAATGAAGGCGAGAGTGATGATGAGATTGAAGAACCTCCGTCCTCTTGAACCGAAGGTAACTCAACCGTATTTGCTTGGGGGGTGGCATCCTCAGACACTTCGGAGGATGGAGTGGGCAGATTCGATGACGGGGGAGTTTTCGGCTGTGTGGACTGACAATCGAGGCGGAAAACGTTTCGGTCATGATCATATCTGGAGTTGATATATTTGGCTCCTGATATTCGTGTAGCCATAGGTGGGCCCCCATGCTTGATGGAGAATTCACCGATCCCAGCAACGGCGGCGATCATCTGCGAAGGTATAGAGGATTTGTTTGACCAGCCTTTGGGGTCGGATTGATCAAGTAAAGTCAAAAGGGTTGTGTTCGGAGATAATGCCTCGATAGCCCAGCCCTGGAGATCAACTTGTGTGCGAATAGTCCCCGGCTCAGAGGGTTGGATAGTAGGGAAAAGTTGGGCATCATCTGTAGAAAAGGAGAAAACGTGGCTGGCTGTCGGCGATTTGTATGTCGTTCGTAATTGTATCGAATCTCGGGCGCTACGAATGTCAATTATGAAACAATCTCTGCCGAAAAGCCTAAACACTCACTTCACCGGCCAGGCGGCCCGTAACTTAAGATGCCATAATTCCGTCAACTCATTAACGTGTTCCAAGAAGACAGCGTCTTCATGTATCTTGTTCCAATATCCAGTAACTCCTGGGGCAACAACCGCACTGAGCAAATCCCAAACGCTTACACCAACAAACACTGCCTCAGCCCGGTACACCACCAACGTTGGATCTATTGAGTTCAAGCGAGTAACAGTGACACCTCGAGACTCCGTAATTGCCTTTGACCACTTGGCCTCCGGCTCCTGGAGCAATGAGGTGAAATAAATGTAGTTTCTTCGCACCAAGTTGGATATTGCTTTTTGCGCGGCCCCTGAACGGCCGGGAGGAGAAACCCCTACGACCCGTCTGGGAGAGCCCGTGGTTGAAGATGCGATCGAAACAGCAGTTGAAATAGAGGTAGAAGAGCGGGTGTCAAGACAAATATTCCCAATCGTAGAGGCATCCTCAAGCATCCGGTGCGGCGTTTGAAATGAGAAAGGATCTCTAAGCTGAATAATCTGAATAGGATGATTTGAGCCGTTAACACGCATAGTACCCGCCGCTCCTCCTGATGGCTCAATAGCTACTGTAGCCCCAACTATTGAATTTTCTGGGGGTCTCGAATGGGATAGACGCAAAGTAATAGGTTCGGGAAGAGCCTGTAAGAAAGGATCATCTGACACAGCGGCAGGCTGGGTTGCATGAACCACCCATTCAGGAAGCAGAGAGGACAAAGTGTACGGTTTTCGTGTGTTAATGCGGACGTCCCAACTTTGAGAACCAGGTAGTAACCATTCTATACTCCGTTCAAGTCTCCGAGCTTCCTTCTTTGCCTGGACATCGTCCATATCGTCCACCGGACTAGTGGGAGTCATGCCATCATCCTCATCGCCATCATGCGTGACACGATACTCCAGCGATAGCAATTGCCGAGCAGCATGACAATCCATATGCGAGATGCCGATTCCGTGACCGTATCCAGTCATGAAGCTAAGTCTGTTGCCGCTCGATAGTACAACTTTCACCAAACCTACAAGAACGGCTGGAAGATTTTGTATTATAGAGGTCTTGATATTCCACAACGCCTTGAGATCATGTTGCCAGAAATACGTGATGCGCAATTTTACTGGCAAGGGCGTGGAGGACATCTCAGGAGGTGGCTGCAAAACCTGAATGCACCATGCAAAAACTGTTCCAAAAGACTCCCAATGAACGCGATAATTCTATAGAGCAAACCAGGAGTACGTACGATGCACATAAGACCTAACAAAGGGGGGCGCAGGTCGAAGATATGCTGGCTCATCAACAGAGCGGGGCAACGAGGTCGACACTTCGATCAAGGTAGAAGCATCCATGAATGATCTCGATATTGTGACAGCATCCCTTGGACTATCTGTAATCAATGAAAAGTGGCCATAGGAACTCAGATCAACTTCCAACAGGAACTTACTTTGCTGGCCAACCCAGCGCAAAGTCAAGCTTCGCAACACGCGTCTCAGTGTCAAACATCTCCAGGATATGGCCATCTTGGACAGCAGGGTCATATTCCTTCCTCATTTGAGGAGTGGATAAAACAGCCCGCCAAGCACTAAGCTGACTGAGGCGGAGGGACTCGATGTCGTCGCCCAATGTGACATCCAAAACGGCGCGCAGTACTTCTCCTGGCCCATCTTTGGACACTATTCGATGTACAACTACATCTGTGACATCTGGAATTATGAGCGGCTGGCGGCGCAACTTTCCCTTCCCTTTTGACTGGGACTTTGCACGCTGTGGTGTGCTGCTTCGGAATGATATGTCAGGATGCGACGATATGGCATTTGTGTGGAATGGGCCAGGGGAGAGTGGAGCTGTTCCTACACTGGAAGAGGCGATGTCCTTAGATGGAGACTTTATGGATACCCTCTTCCACGATCCAGTCGTGGAGGACACAAGCAATGACCGAAACCATGCTTGGGCATTTTTCAATGCATTCGACCACGATTCGCGTAGCCTTTGCCATGCAATAATTCCGTTAGTCATTCTGAGCCATTGGCTATCACATATGCGCTCATTTCTGGCTTACTCACCTCGAACCATCGGACGACATTGACGTGAGCCAGGTGCGAATTGATTGTGGCTATTTCCGGCAGCCGAATCCAGCCGTGTGAACTTTCCGAAATGAGTCATTTTCATTTTCAACCTCACGGCTGACGTTTCGATCGAGGCGAGCTCAGGGAAGAGTAAGCAGATCACAGATCTTGCAACAGCCGTCCGCGCACACCCCACCAAAAAGGAACTGTCTGTTGCGCAACGGAGGACTAATATATAAATTAGATCGAGGTATAATTGCGGGCTCCTTCTTTGTTCGGAGTCTGGGACTCTTTCCCGGCGTCTGCTACTTCTTTGGCGGCCTTTCGAACGCTCTCTGAGCTATTATTTAGAGTAACTACATCTCCTTTGATCAGAACGATTCTTGAGGCATTGCTAGAAAATTGGGACCCTTGGGAAACTCCACTACACCGATGCCTGGCCGCGTGCTCAGCATACAATCGCATGTTGCAAGCGGTTATGTTGGTAGGTCGCCTACTTTACTGCATCTCCCACCTTAGCTCAAGTACCGCCGTTTCCTTCATTGTAGGAAATAAAGGTGCGGCGTCCTGCAAAAGTCTGATGCACCACCTCATCAAGGGCGGCGTCACAGCCGCGACCTTTCCACTCCAAGTCCTGGGATACGATGTGGACACTGTGAATACCGTACAGTATACAAATCATGCAGGTCAGTGTGCTACACCTCATCATTCACCTTTCTTCAGTTCGTTCCTGCAGGATATGGACGTTTTGGCGGCTCCAAGACTAAACCAGAAGATTTAGAACAAATATTTGACATGATGAAAAAGAACCGACTTCTTGTATCCACAACTCGAGTGCTCACTGGTCAGTTGATGGCCAAGGAATGATGGTGCTGATTTCCGATTTCCCCGCGTAGGTTACATCCCAGATGCTTCCAGTTTGCGGGCCGTAGCGAAAGTTATTATAGACCTTCGAAGAGGACGTAATAATGACATTACATATCTCTTAGATCGTGAGCATCTTCGATTTTGGCTTGCCAGATTCTCTTTAGACTAATTTGTGATGTCAGCTGTTATGGGCGACGATGACCAGATGTATGTCGCAGAAGATGTTTTACCAGTATATCTAGGCACCCTCTTACCACTCGCCGACATAATAACACCCAATTGGTTCGAAACGGAGTGAGTCGTTATCTATCAGCATTCAGTATTTCATATTCCAACTATTCGCTTCTCTCGACCTCATTTCCGCGGTCTGGCCCATACTTATGTTGATACCTACAGGCTCCTGACTGGCCTCAAAATTTCGGGCGTAAGATCCATTCAAGAAGCTCTGCACAAGTTGCACACCGTTAATGGAGTTCCGAATATTGTCATAAGCTCAATCAAGGTCACCTCTGAGAGCTTGCGTGCGAAATTAGCCACACAGGGCATTTGGATCCCGACCAATCATGTAGCCGAACAGGATGACCCAGCAACTGGGGCTGATGATTACCTTTTATGCCTTACCTCCACCCTCTTGTCAACCAATCACGACGCGGCCACAAGTGCTTCTCCGGCTACCAGGGGAAGGAAATACTCACAGGCCCTATCGATTGTCCACGCCATCTGTTTTCCCAAGATTCAAGGGTACTTTTCGGGAGCAGGTGATCTATTTAGCGCGTTAGTGCTTGGCCATTTTGCACCGGGATCTAGCCGCACCGCGTTGGCGGATGCCACTTCTCTCGCATTGTCCACAACACAGGCGATCATTGCCTCCACGCACAAGTACTGCTCCGCATTAAGCGAAGAAGAGTGTCCGCTGACGGATGAGGAGCTGGATGCGCAGGATCGCGAACGACGAGTGAACCGAATGCGCGCTCGCGAACTACGCATAGTCTCGGAGATGCGCGAAATATGTGTGCCTTCACAGCAACTGAAATTGGCGGAATGGGAAACATTTTGGGAATGTTTTTGATCCTTGCCTCTCCCGTATTTTGGATGGCCCGAGGCAAGTTGCGCAGCAATTTCACATGTCGTCGATCTCTCACGACTAAATCCAGCAACCCAGAAGCTACATTATCTGAGACCAAATAACTCGGCAGTACTCGCAGATGTGACTTGGCAATGCAGGTCGATCAGTGAACAATCCCTAGTCTGAGGTCTCTTTCATTCAACCAATCATGAAATCATCATGATTTTGGAGAACCGAAACACGTGTATATGCTTCATTTGAAAATATTGATCTGTGACAGTCACACATGTGACATGTCCTGCCATTCATTCTCCACGCTCAAGGCGTTCTCCGACCGATAACGCGTCATGGAAGCACAGTCATGAGCATTGCACTCCGAACCAGCGACGCAGCATAGTACACTTTTACAACACGGCAGTAGCATTTGTTTTTCGCCCGCACTGCGTAGCCGCCAGCCTTTCGCAGAAGGTTTTGAACACTTAAACTTCGAGGGGCCTTCGCTTAACTCCCGCAAGCTTTCTTCCCCCCCGCACTGCTCGTGAGTTGCTCTCTCCTGTTTTCAGCCCTCGCAGCGAACAGCTCATGCCCCAGAGGTGCCCGGACAGACCCAGATCCAGCTACAATGAACATCGAACACCATAGTCGCATTCCACGAACGGACCTGCCTTCAACAGGCCACCTCTTTGACCATTCACCTCAAGGACACCCACAGCTACAGCTTAGGCGATCAACATCATCGCATAGCGCTTCTCCTTGGTCGCCACAAGATCCATCTTCGCATCCAGCGGGGCAATCTGCTTCACCATCTGAGCACCCTCATACAGCCCAGCGTGATGATGACCAGATACCTCTTGGAAACCGTCCATCGACCGCAGGGCTGTCGGTCACCCTCTCCTCCCTATCAGTCGAATCCTCCCTTCCCTCCCCCTTGGGTATATTTCCCCCAGAACAGGATCATCCCGATGTTGGTTCGATTCGGCCTGGACTTCAGCCCATCCCTCATCAGTTTGCATATCAACCTCCATTCTTGTCGAGTACATCTCCCGATTGGGCTTCTAGTACTCGTTCCAATTCTTCTTCCGAGCTCTATTACGGGGCACCAGACCCTGCGACAATTAGTGGTTCACAAGATGATAGGATTGGCGCATTCAACCTTGCGGCACCTCAAGGAGATGTTTCAAACACAAATGGTACACCCCTCGAGGCACCCCTCAGTCGGCGTGCTTCTCGCTCGCTCTCCAATTCTCAACCCCATGAACCGTGTCGTGACCTCCATCATCAACTTTCATACTCTGGGCTGGTGCAGCCCGCAACTACCCACTTTCATAGTGTTGACTCGGATCCCAAATCCTCGCGTCCAGATCCACCTCACCACATCGAAAGTACCGTTGAAGGATCTGTCCTCCATCGCACTCTGACTGGTAACGAATCCCCCGCCCAAGCTGCCGCTGGGAATCCCGGTGGGCTCATGTGTGACTCTTTTATCACACCTCCTGAGCATAAGGTCGAGCAGAAGAGTCCCAAGATTGGGTGTCTGCATGTGCCTAACCCAGAATTGTCGAAACCGGCAATAATCACTAGGGGGCAGACATCCAATTTCGTCAGCAAACTTTACCTGTGCGTACATTGGCCCATTTTTTCATAGTTAAATTGAGAGTGCATTCATAATTCCCGTATCGAGTAGGATGATCAATGACCCTCAATCTGCTTGCTACATCCAGTGGACACCACTCGGGATCAGGTGAATCATTGGCTCTTCCAAACACTGGAACACGTAACTCATGTCGGCGTCTTTCACAAGTTTCGTCGTGTCAAATGTAGGGGAGTTCAGTAATGAGATCCTGGGCTCTCATTTTAAGCACAGTAATGCAAGTCTTGTCTTCGTTATATTCACCTGCCCCTAAGCTAATTGCTGAGCCTGCTCACCACCCATTTTCAAGTTCTCCAGCTTCGTTCGTCAGTTAAATATGTATGGGTTCCATAAGTCCAACAGGGTTCGTCGGCACAATTTTTTTTCCCATCGCGGACGAGCGGATGACCAATGATTCTTACAGACACCACGCGCACAGCGAACGAACCAGAATCCCAATGACCAAGTTTGGGAGTTTTCGCACCAATATTTCCTACGAGGACGGGAGGACCTATTAGAGAAAATTAGGCGCAAGGCGGCGGACAACGGCGAGCCGACCGTTCGCCCGAAAATTGATCTTCCTACCGAAGTTGCTTATCAACTCCGACGTTTGGGCGAAGAAAACTCACGATTAGCTCAGACCCTGCAGGCTGAGCGGGCTAAAGTTGACAAGTTGGCTAATGTCGTCAAATCACTTTATGGGGCTTTCCGTAACGCGTTCCCTGATGAGAGGGAACATCCATTGCCACCTTTTCCGGATGAGATCGTTGAATCTCCAGAGGGCAGTAACGAAGTCTTGGGTGAAGCGTCCCCGTCCAATTCTGCCGATAGTGTCAATGGACCGGGGACGTCGCCGGCTTGTGGCGTGTGGAATGAGCCAGGGTCTGCTTCGGCTCAGTCAACCTCCCTCTTCACTATAAGTCCAGCGTCTAGTCCTACCCTGGGCGATTTCTCTTCACAAGGGAACCCAAGTCAGCGGCCTCAAAGTTCCATTCGATCAAACCGTCGTCAATCATTTCCCAAAGTCTCCATACCCGCCTTGCCTCGAATCAATAGTACTGCCCTTCAGAGCGCGACAACCGTTTCTTCCCCCGTCGCGGGTGATGAAGGATATGACACATATGGAAGCACCTCCTCCTCTCACCCATCATTCGATAATGAAGGGCGCGTTAGTGGCCCAAAGAGACAAAGGAAGAACCCAATCACCATCAAAACAACTGGATTGTCTTCTCCTGGGCTCTCGCCCCTTTCGGCAACGGCACAATCCTTCCCCTCTTCGTTAACTACAAGCACCAGCACCGTACGAGGGACTGTGCTGCCATCTTCCACACCCTCTTCTGCAGTTCAACTGCATTCTCACGATGGTAGTTTTAGTAACGACCTCCCACCGCTCCACGTTCCAATGCCCTTGAATTCATACGGGAATAATTCCCCTCACAACACTTCCCAACATAGCAACCGATTTCCGCCTGTGCGTAGGTTAACTCGCGCGAGAAGCGACTCGGCCCCTCACGGAATGGGCTTGGTCGATGCTTGGCAACAAAATCAGGATTTGCGCATCGGAGGGGGGGATATAACCACTTCTCCATCACCCACAAGTCCAGTATTCCCTGTTTTATCCTACGCATCACCCACCATCACTTCTAAGCACGTGAATGACCCATGGATTCCTCGGCCCCCCAGCACTTCGCATTATCCGGCACATCCCCAAACCCAGAGGTCCTCCATGCGAGGGCCTTCCTGCATTCCAAGTGCAGGCCAGTTTTGCACTGATGTAGACAATGGCCGTCGGGACTCAGACGCGCATGCAGCATCTACAAGGGCGGTAGCTGCACAACTCGTGATGCCTGTTTCAAACGGACCGCCTCCAACGCCAAGCGGAACTGCTTCGACACCACTCAATATCCGTCCCGCAAAAGGCCTTTCTGAGAATTCGAGAGATATCTAGCAATCAAGCCTGTTGTAACACTTTAAGCATTCAATTCGCATCCGGATCGACAGGGCCGAACTCAACGCGATTACAAAGAGGACGTATTTATGTAAGGCCATTCACACCCTAACTCTGCTACTCAACAATGGCTGTCCAGCTTCCCTGTTCACCCACCAGGGATGTTCGGCTCAAGCTTGGTTTCTACGATTTTCACAACCCAGACCACTTAATAACTTTCGCGATATCCTAATTATTCTGCTTTCGTTGCCTGCAGCATCTCAGCAGTTTTGCTGTTATCTTAGACATATTCCCTCGGTAGATCACAGTTGCCGCAAATGCGCAGCGATGGTCAAATGGGCTTTACCCCGATCACTCACTAGCGTGTCCAGCGCCCAGCATGAATAGGTTACCAATCCAACATTTCCCTTGCACGTCTTCAGTCAGTTTGTATGAATAATGTAAATTGAGGCTTGCGCAACGCAGCCACTCCGGACACCTTGAACAGTGGACCTACATATGACTAGGATATTACCAATTCCAAGGGGAAGTGCTTCTGTATGTAGCCCAAAGTTCATGAACCCACCAACTTGGTACACGACCGTGTACAAATCCGGGGGTGTCATTCGGGACTTTTGATATTTCCATATTCGGGGATCTAGAGATATGCATGAACGGTTGGTTACTAGCTTCAATTGAGTACATACCACTTGGTTAGGATAGAAAGAGTGTTCCACCAAATCTCGCGGATCTATCTCGTCCGTGCTAGCGAGCATGGAAGGATGCGAGTCGGCGCCTGTGGGATAATGAGGCGAAAAGGGGAGTGCCGCAATTTGGGCAGACAGAGGATAGGTCTGAGGGTCAGATCTGAGGGGGGCCGTGTGGTCTTCGTGCGTCGTGTGGTAGGTGGGATAGCTGGACGTGCCTGGTGGTAAGGGATGAGCGGTGGGGGGAAGTTCTGAAGGTGGAGTTCTTCCACGTTGCAAGTAGGGAGCCAGTGTAGGTTCTGAAGCTGCTTTGAAGGCCATGGTATCCAGTATCACGCTACATAACACCCACGGGGAAGTGGTCAGCATCGCATCAAGTACCAATGATGAATTACTAACCCACATTCATCTTGCAACTTTCTCAGCTTTGCATTCGAAGCTGCCAGCTCTTGTTGTCGTTGCGTATTTATCTATGGAACAAGTAACCGGGCCGTTCGGCCGATTAGAAACATCTCTCCTTAGATCAAGAGGGACGCGGTTTCTACATTGGACACATTCTCGTATTTTGTTCTCAATTCGTAGAATCTAGCGAATCGAGGGTTAGCGACGATACAATGATCATGATTCCGGGGACCCACTTCTCCTTGTGCTTGTTCACTCTGGGATTCGACGGCATCTGCATGTTTCGACTCACCTCTTAGCCCGAACAAATTGGTCCTCATGAATACGTACCGATAACCCGTATCTTGTGTATGCTGACTGGCCTTGTGAAGCAATTGAAATCAGCGTCACGAACACTGCCACTCCCGTGAGAACCCAAACTCGGAAGTTGACATGAAGGTAGGCAGGGCGGTTTGTCCTCTCATAGGGAGTTCGCGATCAGGAGACAACGAGACCAGATTGAAAGTTAATACGTAGGGGTGGATTCCAATGAACCACAACAAGCACATTGTAATTGGACACGCAAGGAATCGATACATAGATGATGAACAGATGACAAGAGTCAACGCTAGCGTTTAACTCCAGAAACAGCAAGCGATGAAAATTCTATTTTTAGACAACATATCTGAGCGGAGGGGAAATACAACCCGTCCGGGATATAAAAAGAGTAAAACCCCGCAGCCAGTAAGTACGAAAAGTGAGTCCAAGAAGAATTCGTTCAGACCTTACTACCTTTCTTAGAAAAGACATTCGAAAGGAAACCATTCGAGGTCTTTTCTTCATGGAGTTTCTTACCCTCATGACGTGAGGATGATCTCGGTGGAGGGAAAATATCAAAGCCTGGAAACCCAGTAGATGCTCGCCTACCGGCAGGAATACCTGGAGGCGCGGTGGACCGAGGGCTAGGATTGGTAGGTGCTGGGCTGACGTCATATCGCCTGCGCTCTGCACGAGGGTCGGGAGAAGCAGGGGGAGGAGCGAAGGATGATGCAAGGAAATCGTCCTTTGCGTGAGCAGGGTGGACGATAGCAGGTGCTAAAGGAGCTGATCCTGAGGCCACGCGGTGTATAGGCGCAGGAGGTGGAGGAACGAGAGCATCAGACGAAACAGGGAGAGGTGATGGTCGGCGTCGTTGCCGTGGAACTGGGGGGGTGCTTGAACGAGATGTCTGTGCATCAGCAGGGGGAACAGAAAAATCATGAATGGATGAAGGCAGCTGGAAGGCACGGGGTTGGGCAGAGGGGAAGGAGTAGGCAGGGAACTGGTGAGGGTTACTTTGAAGGACATCAGGCGAAGATGGAGAGAGTTCCGCGTCGTCACGATAGTATGATGAGCCCGACGATGAAGTGGTTCCGGCACTCCCAGGTGTATTCGGTGTCAAAACAACATGATATCCTGGCTTACTGGTCGGACCATTCCCGAATACCTTCCACCTGCCCTTGGCACGCTCTTCCTCTTCAGCCGAGCTTCCGCTACCTCGTCGATCAATGTCATCGCTCTTCAACAATGCAGCATATTCTAGCTCCTCTTCCCTGTCTCGCCACATACGTCCATCCGCGCCGATATATGGCAAAGGACCTTTCCCAGTGGCACCCCGCTCATTCGCACCAGCACCACAGGGAGTATTGACGAAAACTGCTACATGCTTCTTAGAGCGGGTATCACCTAGGATCTGGTCCATCTCGACGATCGTAGAGTAAGGAACAGGTAAAGGGTACCGTTTCCTGTTCTGATTACTTGGCTCCTTCTCCTTGTCACCCTTACCAGAACGAGAAGAAGAGAAAGGGATGTTGGGAACTGAGCCACGACGCCCGCTGGTAGTAGACGGGGGCTGGGTCGTTGGTGGCGTTCGCGACGTAGTCCTTGCGAGAACATTCGAACTGGATCCAAGGGGTGTCTTTGCCCCTGAACCCGACCCAGAGACTGAGGGTTTGGATGATTTGAGTATCGAACCAATAACCATGTTCACTTTGGAGGGCAATTTACGGATAGATTTAGAGCGAGGAGGACGAGAGGGTGTGTTGGGTATGGAGGTCTTGGTTTCGAATAAGTGTTCAGCGGCGTAATGGTTGGAAAATGTCTCGATAGCGACGGTGTAGCCTGAACTATTGCCGATATCGAAATGTGTGTGAACGGAGCCAGCAGTTTTGAGTCCAGGCGTGAGCAAAGCAGGAGTAGTGTATACTTCTTGCCGTTAATGTATTTCCCAGATGGGGTAGGAGAAGGTGTATCGAGAATATTGAGGAAAGATTCCCGAGGAGAAAGAGGCGAACGAGGACTTGGATTATCCGATTTGGTTGGCCCCGTTAGCGATCGAAGACGACGCGCAGGTGGCGGGGAAGGGGGTTGGGCTTTTAAAACACGCTTTGAGCGAGGTGGTGGTGGAGGAGAAAGTAAGAAAGTGTGCGGTGGGCTAGATGAAAATGCACAGTTTCGATCCTGAATATGGCTTGTGAATGCACCGGATGACATATAAGAAGTGATTGTGAGGAGTATTAAGGAAGACTTTGAAGATATCTGGCGAAGAACGAAACCAGGTTTATAAGCCTACATCCCTGATGTTATAAGTAGCAAGTTGTTTGGGTAACCCACCAAGAGCTTTAAGATTATGCGCGTTGGGGCGGACGTTGAACGGCCGTACAAAGTCTGATGATAGGGGAAGAAGAGCGGTCAGGAATGAGCTCAATGACTTGGCGGTAGCCATCCAGTGACTCACAATGTAATTTACTAGTGTAAGTAGTTGGGACTGTGCAAATGGAGTTTAAGCGCCGAGTTACAACGGGCGAGCACACGACACGCACACACTATGACACAAGGTTTCAGTCACACCACGATGCATCAAGCCCATTAAAGGGAACTCACAAGTCAAGTGAAGATCCAATTGTTAAAGAATGAAACTGGGGTGAAAGAAAGAAAGAGAGTCGATCGAGTTTATGAGATTCGAGTTGGATTCAAAGAGTTCAAAGGTGAAGCGCAGCTTGGAAAACTCACATCGACGAGAATATGTGTCGAGATTATAAGGCGCTCGTCGCCATTGTCCCTAAGACAAAAAGCCTGAGGAGGACAACGTCTCTCTCCATGGCGCCAAAAAGAGCCCCTCCCCTTAAATCTCATTGTCGGCGGCCCTGCGCCTTTGTTGTGCTTGTTTCGTGGGAACAATTCAGTTGAAGTCGGCAAGCGCCGGTTTAGCGCTTTGTTTAACTGGTTTTCTGCCTTTGTTCTCGTCAACGTGTCCGTTTACTATTGTCCTTTATCGCGATAGCTGGCGTTCTGATATCCCTGAGTTCTTGATCCGAGGCCTCGTGTCCTGATTTAGATTCACTGCTTGCTCGGGCGTTCGGGGCCCACCTGTCATGTTGATGCTTGATTGAGGGCGCAGACCGTCGCTGGTTCTTTTCTCTCGTCATCGCACTGGCTAAGAGCTTGTTACTTCCTTTGTCTGTTTTGTTTTTGCATCTATTTGCACAAATATGCATCTCGGTAGAATTACCGCGTGTTTCACAACGCGTTGCACACACAATGCGGAATTATTTCCTGGAACTTCATTTCGTGGCTATTATCTTCGCTATTCAGCTCCATCAGACCCTTTTGATGCCGAAGCGACTTTTCACCATCGGACTGACTGATGTCAAACAACGATATCCTACCAACACCGCCCGCCCCGCTGACATCGCGAACATGTATGCTGAATACACCCTCCTTCCAGCTTCCAAGGAGTATTTTCGTCACGTATACTGAAGCATATTTTCTCTGATGCCTTTCATCGTCTTGTCAGTAGGCGATGGTTACCTTTCAGATTGAATTTCCATCGCATCATGATCCTACCCCACGTTTTCTGCTGCTTCTGAGACGGACTCGTATCAACCTAATCCCAAAGCCACTAGTATAGGCTCTCTTGCAGGTTCCTCCGTTGGCCAAGATCATGCTTGTGTCGATGTAACTGGGATGAGCATGTTTATTGCTTTCATGGCTCGTGCCTGAATGACCAATGCGTCTTGCCAATTGCGCAAGGCACCAGCACACAACTATTGTAGAATTTGCAACGAGGCCCCTTCCGCCTCCCTTTGCGGTTCTTCATCATTGAGCTGCCATCTTTGGGCCACAGTTTTACCAACAAAAGTTAGCTCTTCCGAGTGGCATGCCTTCCCGGCAGCTTTTTTTAAAGCAGCTCACACATGAACGAGGAGCTGGCGAGCAAAAAGCAATAGACTCCATACGGAAGATGTTTTTTGTGTTCGTTACTCCATCTAATATTGTCCGTGCGTGTCCACATGCTACCCCTTTGTCATCGATTTCACTTGACTCCAGACACTAAGTCATGTTCTCCGCCTTTGACCACTTGAACGATTCAAATTCGTTCCACTCTTTGTTAGTTCTCGATTTGAGTTTGTGATTTGAAAGCCCCTCTTCGCAACTTCTTGAGCAACTAGTGATATTATATTGATGGACTATTTGCTCAACTCCATGTTGATGTACGTGCACCCGTATAGTGATTGTCAGAGCTCTAACTTACTTAACTCTGCCAGGTGAAACGGCCTTCGTCCCCGAATGCCCTTCCCACCCTACAGCAGCTATGTACACGTTCCTGAGTTGGTATAGATTCCGCATGCGATAGTGGCAGGGCGGTGGCGAACGAACTATGCCACTCAGGAACATCAAGAATTTCAAATAGGTGTCAACCGTGGCTAAGGTGCTACTTGCGCATGGCAAGTAAACAACAAATGGCTTCTCGTGATCGGCTAGCTTGCCCAAGTACTAGTGTGAGTGCAAATTGATGATATTTACCCCGCTTGAGCACTGAATAGTACATAAGTAAGATCACGAGTGCGACGACGGATGATGTAACAGGGGGTGTCGTGACGTGTCGTGATACGTGTGGCCTTTGTGTTCTCAAGCTAACCAATACCAAATCTTGGGATTTCTCTGTCCTTTGAAACGGCCATGCCCAGTCTAGTCGCTTGAAGGGTTGAGACCGCACGATTTATCATTGCACCTGCACGGCCGCCCACCCTGGTCCATCCCACCGCCAAGCACGAGAATGCCAATACAGCGCTGAGTGGAACGTGAATGTCGCGTTTACCCAAACTCGAAAGCAGGCGAATGCACGATTTGGTACCACAGCCTACAGGTGTCGAGAAGGTAATTCATTTCTTGGTACATGGTTGGAGTCCTTCAATTGCTGATGATCGTATAGAGCACTCTGAACACTCGCAATCTCGTGTTTCCTGAGAGTTGTGCAGTGCCAACATGCGCTAACACGTTTACGGAGAGGCAACCACGTGTCCAGCGCTAGTTTGTACTTACGCTGAGAGGACATTAAGTATGTTGGCATTCGATCCGGAGGTCGATCCAAGGCCTCTGATCATACAATGGGGCCGCCGCCAAGCTAGCTGCTCACCAACGCCGAGGAGAGAACACGGAGCTGTATCGCGTATTTGTGAATTCAAACTCTTCGACATGGCAGGGTTTACATAAATTGGAGCACTCCTAGGTGATTCACAAGCCACAAGGATGCAGGGATTCCCATGGAAGGATGATGATTGCAGCACTTGCCTCGTCCCAACCCTCAACTTAATGGACTCCATGTTGTTCGTACTATTGACTAACTCCACGATAAATGTCTCCCAACCCAAACCGACCCCAAGCTATGCTTTCCTGTCAAATAGACATTGTCACACGTGAGCATTTGATCCTTTCGGGCCGAAGAGTGCTTTTTGACCGGACGGAAAAACCATTACCTCCCCAAATCCACGTAGAGTAGTTTCGGACAATCTTGGCCGCCTGTGAATGATTAGTCAGGGTTGTATTATTTTGAGGTGGTTCGGGAATGAATGATTCAATGGATGGATTCAAGTTATTCCGGGGAAATTAAAAAGTATGGCGCGTGAAGTTGTGCTTTCTCGAGCGGCTTATGTACTTGTTCTATTCACTAAAGCGTGAAGGAACCCCGGTGCCGAGAGGTGTCAATGTGTGTCGGCATGTTGCGTTGCCTTTTGTGGAAATGACGCGCACCCCCGGTCACACCCGGTTCCGTATTTTGCAAGTTGTTTATCAAGGGAATCTGTCAGTTGTGGACTGGTTTCACGCTGTTCATGTCTCTACCACGGTTTAGGCAGTTCACGGACTCGGAGGGGTTGTTGTACTCACCCTTCCGCAGCCCCTCGTTATCAGGTGGCAGTGCCGAGGGTGTGAAACCACCAACTGCCCATTTACATTCATCCATTGTTTCGTCGAGAAAGAGTTTAGCCATCAGCGCAAACGGTCGCGCTATAGCCTGTGCTTCAAATTAACAACGCAATCCAAATCACTTGCGGCGTTTCTCATGACGGAGCGGGCCCAATAGCTCGAGGCATGCAGGGGCCCGATATCTCAATTAACCCCAGCGATCGCATTGACAAATGTTAATATTACCATCACTGGCAGCCGGGTCCATCAAAGATACATAGCTATATATATATGATGCCCAGATCACGGCTTTAAAAATTTAAATCCGTGGTGTTCTCCCCCCCCCCCCTAGTTTGCTTATCTATCCCCAGCCTTTCTCGATCACTTGGAAAACTCTTCGTCCGTACACATCAGCGCTTTGTATATGGGCGACTGCAAGGGCGCTAAAAGTGCCATAATCATTGGTCAGTTCAAGTGGTGCCATTTTGTGCGCTCGTCCGAGTCCTCATATAATAGCATACACGTCACGACAGGTGCCGGTGTAGGAGGTGTTGCCCTTGCTGCACGACTCGCGAAAGCTGGTCTCAATGTCACTCTGCTCGAGAAGAATGATTTTATAGGCGGGCGGTGCTCTCTCATTCATCACGACGGTCATGTAAGTTGTCCAAAATCCACTTCAAGCAACCATTTTTTTTTATTACACGATGCGAGTTTCCCTTTTTTTTCATCCATCCACTGAGCAGTCGTTTTTCGCCCATGATTAGAGGTTCGATCAAGGCCCGTCACTTGTACTCGTGCCCGAATTGTTTAAAGAAACGTTCGAGGATCTCGACACTTCCATGGAGGCTGAAGGTATTCAGCTCGTAAAATGCGAGCCTAATTACACCCTCCATTTCCACAGTGGAGATAGTGTGTCCCTGTCCACGGACATATCCTTGATGAAGGACCAAATCGAGAAGTGGGAAGGTGTCGATGGCTTTGAGAAGTATATTATTGAACCCGAGTGATTCGATCGAGGGCTAATTTTATCTTCAGATTCCTCGACTTTCTAAAGGAGTCCCATCGTCACTACGAAGTTTCTCTGGAACACGTAATGCATCAGAACTACACCTCCATCCTGTCTTTACTCCGCCCAGAGGTCCTAAGCAATCTCCTCAGCCTTCACCCTTTCCAATCTCTGGTAGGTCCCACTACTGGAGTTGATTCCCACCCGATATCCCGATTACTTACCTTTTGTGGTTTGTGCTATAAAGTATTCCCGTGCCTGCAAACATTTCACTTCGCCTCAAATGCGCAAAACGTTCACGTTCGCCTCCATGTACACCGGAATGTCACCATACGATGCACCAGCCACTTATTCATTATTGCAATACACCGAATTCGCCCGAGGGATATGGTACCCTATCGGTGGTTTTGCCATCGTTCCCATCAAGCTGGCTGAGATCGCTCAAAGATTCGGGGCTACCATCCGTCTGTCATCCCCCGTCAAGTCACTGTTATTCTCCGATGACGGAAAGCGAGTATCAGGCGTTGTTACAGCGTCCGGCGAATCTTTGGAAGCCGATATTGTGGTCTGTAATGCAGATCTCGTTTACGCTTATGATAAACTTCTTCCATCTCCCCGGTTATCGTCCCTCGGAAAGATCTTCGGTTTCCTCGATGATCTCAATCCCCTTTCCTCTTCTAGGAGGAACGTGTTAAATAGAACTGCATCGTGCTCAACCATTTCCTTTTATTGGTCTCTTTCCCGACCTCTCCCACGCCGTCCTAAACACGCACCAGCAGCATCAAATTTTTCTTCGCCCGCCGAGGGGAAGAATGACGACTACTCCTACTTCTCCGCCCACAACATTTTCCTCGCAGACGCTTACAAGCGATCTTTCGATCAAATCTTCAAAGAGCATACACTTCCAACCGATCCAAGTTTTTATATAAATGTGCCTAGTATGCTTGATGACACTGCTGCACCTGGTGGTTGCGATACCGTTGTGGTGTTGGTGCCTGTTGGACATCTTCTGCAGAGGGAGGTGGACTCTGAGGAAGGAAATAGGGTGAATGCACTGGTGAACCGTGCAAGAACGCAAGTTTTGGAAACTATCAAAACTAGGATGGGGATCGATCTTAGTAAGGATGGGTGGATTAAACATGAGATAGTGAATAACCCAATCGTATGTGAGTATAAGTTAACTATGGTATAGCTGAGATACACTCACACCGTCGTTTCCTTTTTAGGGAAAAATAAGTTTAACCTCGATCGTGGTGCTGCTCTTGGACTCTCACTCGACCTTTTGTGAGTCATCTTGCAACATCGCAGCATAAGCATCAGCGTCAGCATCCTGATAAAACCGTTCATTCTGCTAGCAATACACTCTGTTTCCGTCCTTGCACGCAGCATTCTCAGTTCAAGAATATGTACTTTGTCGGAGCTAGCACTCATCCAGGTAAATCGAACAAAACACAACACACCTTTCCCTCCCAGCTAACTCATGATCTTTACTCTTTTTTTTTTTTTCCAAGGCACTGGCGTACCTGTCGTCCTCGCTGGAGCCAAGATAACCGCGGAACAAATCCTATCGAATCATCTTCCCCCTAATGAGATCTCAGGATTCAAATCCCTTCAAGGGAATGGCCATGCAGTAGGGCACAACAAAGTAGTATCCGGGCCTAAATCGAAGCGCACGTCGTTTGTAGAGCCTTTTAGGCTACTAATCTGGCTTATAATCGTCTCGATAATATTCTTTTGGGTTTCTGTGACTCTTTTCGGTGTGTACAAGGGATGGCGCTACCTTTAAATTACCATTAGGAAGGGGGAGTCGTGTGAAGGCCCTTCGTTACTAAGTATGAGCTCATGATGGGAGTTTGTACTGTATTTACGTAGATATCGCGGTTGCGCGAGGAAATTTTTTATTTATTGAGGTTACGCGCAATCACGTAGGACTTACGATCGATTGCCTTTTAAGCATGACGTTGGTAATAAGTCTTAAAGTATCAAGTTGATTCTTCTTCCGTCGCCGCATCGGAAAAAAAAAAACCCCCTCTGGTAGGCACGAGGTCCATCAAAGAAGGGATCAAGAAGCGCAAGGCATTTCTTCATACGCGACGCCGTTTGCCTGCCCAGTTTCAAGCTAGGGTGGCATGTAAACTTTATTGACGCCGGGCTTCGGATCGGATCGACGTCAGGTACCTCCGAGATAATGATTCCCGGTCTTGCTTATTTAATCAAGAATAACAAATGGTGTCCTGATTATTCAACGCGCATTTTTTTTGAAAAACGGGTGTTTCCGATTGTGGCGTCCTCGCCCAGGGGGCCTAAGTGCTCCGTTAAAGACCGGAACCACACTATTGGACATTGATCAAGCTTGTCCGAGAGAGGATCGATGAGGCAGGAAGCAGTGGTCAAGATAGAACCCAAGTTTTTTTTTTCTTAATTCTGGCGACACTGCTTCCGGCACCTTCAAAGTTTGACACGGCACACAAGTCCATTCACGAACCTGCGGCGATACAGTGCATATTTCCCTCCGTACCTCAGACCTGGAGTGCATAAGCTCTGTTTACCAACAGCAAAATAGACGAGCGGATTAAGTATATGCCAGACCTACAGTTATTGACTCATCGGTTCACACGATGCAGCATTTGAAACTAGCGCTGGGAGAAGCAAGCTACATTTCTCATGAATATCGCTGATAACGGTGTCCCTGCTGTCCATATCGATGCCGCAAAGATACTGGATAACCTCGTTCACGAACTCGGGCTGCCAAAGGAAGTGGCGGATCTTAGATCGAACGTCTCTTTCGATGGAGGCGAACCCTTCCTTCCGTTGCCCCATAAAAACGTTAGTCCCTCCGTTTACAATCCGAGCTTGGACTGGAAAAACAGCATTTCTCACTTCAAATGTTGTCAGCAAGCCGCATCTTCGGCTCTGCATGGTCTACTAGCCATCGCGGCAGCTCGCATTCTTCAGCTTCGCGGAGCTACCAAAGTGCCCCAAATCTTCATCAACACGGATCATGCCTCTCTGTATCTTGCTGGTTTTGCTATGAGCACCTTGGATGGGCATCCTGTCTCCTCACCTTCCTACCTGAGCCTCATACCGAATGTAAATGAAGAAGAGACCACTTTGCTTCGTCAAGAAATTATGAACGTAAGTTGTAATATGTTATACCGCGAACATGGGATCGAAGGGAACCTAGGTTTACAAGACTAAGGACGGGCGTTTCTTCCACACGCATTGCTCACTGAATGCATCGAGTATGCTTAAACTCATCGGGCTCGATCCTAACCTTGTCGTCAAAGACATCGAGGAAGCGAGGGAGGTCATCGGGAAAGAATGCTTGAAGTATACTGCTGAGGAACTTAGGATGCTGTGTCATTCTAATGGTATGGTCGGCGAGATTGTACTGCAGCCGGCGGAGTTTGACAATTCCGACCACGTAAGGGCCCAGTGTTTCTAAACAATCACTTGCGTTTATAAACTCATATCTCATCAGGGAAAGATCATCAACTCTCTTCCGCTTGCGAGATTCATTGATATAGAGAGCTCCAACCCTGGACCTTCTCCCTTAACGGGACTACCATCAACGAATTCTAGACCTCTAGAGGGCATCCGCGTTGTGGAACTCACCCGGGTCATAGCAGGCAGCGTCGGCGGACGCTTGCTCGCAGAGTTAGGTGCTGATGTGGTGAGGGTCATAGGACCAGACCTGCCCGACTTCTCAATTTTCCAAGTGAGTTTGTGGCGCCTCTGTTGGTTTAACTGTATCTAACTTGTACATCGACTAGCCTGATTATAACCTAAATAAACGCCCCGTCCACATTGATCTACGCTCGAAGAAAGGTCAAGAGCAAATGGGTCATTTGCTGGCATCTGCAGACATATTCTTGCAAGGTATGCAACCATAGTGCAATGAGGTTGAAAACTGAAATGCTGACGACAAACGAATAACAGGGTATAGACCTGGGGCCATGAACAGGCTTGGTCTCTCGCATGAGCGGCTTGCCGAGCTTGGAAACAAAAGAGGAAAACCTTATATCATCGTGGACGAAGCGTGCTATGGTGGTGAGGCGGAGAATGCTCCATGGAGTCTCCGACCAGGATACCAGCAAATCGCTGATGGGCTGAGCGGCGTCGCATGGGAGACCGGTGTAGCATCTGGATTGGACGAACCAGTCATTCCATGCCTGCCGATATCCGACTATTGCGCAGGCACCTTATGTACAGTCATGGCGGTTTTGGGTCTCGTGAGACGTGCCGAACCTGGGAAATTTGGGGTCAAGGGCAACTCGTTCTTTTCTCCAATTTCACTCACAGCATTAGACGTTTGGTTGAGACGTCAGGGTCAATATCCGATTTCGTACGTGCGGGAAAAGCATGCATTGCATGGCTTCAGGTACAATACTGGTTTGGGGCCTATGCTTTTCAAGACGCTTCAAGTGAAGTTAGCCCAGGATCCGTTGTACAACCAGCCGGGATTCTATAACGTCATCGAGCATGCGCCGTTCGAAGGTAGGGCTCGAGTAACAGGACAACCACGCCGCGAAGAGGGAGGCAAGGGTGTGAAGTACATATGTCTTGGTCCAGTTATCAAGTTTGACGGGATCGATACCAGCTACATTAGTACCGCGCCATGGGGCTACTTTCGACCTGGCTGGAGCGAAGCAGATGCGGATGCGCTCGAGGAGGCACTCGAGGAAGTTCCGTGAGTGGAGATGCGGATTGGTATATAGGAGACATTCTGCTCTTGACTGGACGATACACTCGAACTCAAGCAAGAGCCTCTGAGTCTCAGACCCACGACCGGAGAGGCGGACGGACGAACGATGGATAGCTAGACTCTTATGATAAAGGTGTCGGTATAAATACATGTCCAACAGTGGAGATCCCATCTGCTCAGTGGCTCACAGGGGAGAAAAGATCATATAGTCCATCGATTCACATCGCTGAATCGATAAGGCAGGTTTGCGAAACAGTTTCAGATGTGTGGCGAAAATCCGTTGGGGTGAATATGCTGAATCTCATTCTCAAATTGTGAACAAGCAAGAAAACTCTGGCATGAACTATTTTACAATGCATCGCGATATGCTTCATCAGGACGGGGATGAGAAGTGCTCCTTTGACAGACAAACAGACACAGGTTAATCATCATCATGTTTATCTTGGTTGCGCCAAGCAGTCACCAATCGGAGGCCTCCAGCGTCTGAAGCTTTGGCTTCAATAGCTAGAGAAGGGAGTGAGTACGGCATCAAGTTTTGTAGTGGAGCTAAGACCCACGAATGAACTTCTCATCCTTTCCAAGAGCGTTCGCGTCTGAATCTTTGGCTTTAAAAGCTAGAGAAGGGAGTGAGTACAGCATCAAGTTTTGTAGTGGAGCTAAGACCCACGAATGAACTGGTGAAAATGATGAGGGTGGGCGGAGAGCAATGTCATCAGACTTCACGACTACTGAGCGAGCAAAGGAAACACGTACAACGGCCGTCAGGTCTTTAGGGTGAAAAGGGGGATGTAGGTTGTCAGGGTAAAATAGAATTCGATCGTTATTATAATCGACGACTGATTTAGTGCCATTACCGATCTTGTTGATGCGGTTGATAGACAGATTGCCCCAGACGGCTGTGGGGACACACTATAAACGATGTTTCGTTCTATTCTACGAAAGACAAATGCTCACAAATGATGTTTCCAGCGGAAACCCCAGCAGGGAGGCGGAACGAGGTTTGTTTATCGATGGAAGCGATGGTGATTTTAATTTCAGTTTCCCAAATTTTCTTTTGGACCAATGCAGTGGCCTTTGTGAGTTTGAGGGAATGCCAAGACCCCCCTTTGTGCTTTGTACCGTCTACGAGATGTTTGACAGTGCGCGCCTGGGTATTATTTACTCAGGCATGCGTCTAAAACACATGCAGACAGCCACCTACCGGATCTCTTCCGACAAACTGAAGGCAAAGAGAGCCATCAATATCATAAGAGAGAAGAGAGTCCAACAGGAAAAAGCACCTCAGCATAAAAATTGCCCTGATTATCAACATTGCCAAAGAATTGAACGATGACGGCTACGTCGTCCTTCTCCACAGAGGAATCGCTGTGGATCACATTGTACCTCGTCTTCCCATTGATATCGTCAATGTTATAGTAGAACAAGGTACCGACGGGATCTAGAACCCAAGCACGTCATTAATTTTCAGTATCAAGCAGACCAACACTACCTTTTCCGAAGGCAACGCCGTCGACGAACTCCTTCAAGATCTCAGGGGCTTCGATGCGCACGCCTTTCTCATCGTGGCCATCGACATTGTTAGCGAACAGAGCAGAGGCGCCAGTCGACCGGCCGTATTTGTGGAGTCGTTCATCGTATGCGGCCTTGTAGCCCTGTCTGGTGGTGGTAATAGTATAATCAAGCATTGAGCTTTGTTGTTTTGGTGTTAGAGGTGCAGGTGGTTCGAGCCTCTCTAGGATGAATCCATGAGTTATTTATACGCCGATTAGGTGAATAGGGGACCCATACCATGAGAGATAACCAGGGACGGCTATTAATTGAGTTGCTTCGCATTTTTCATGATTTTAATTACCTCCCAGACATGTCGTCTTTAATACCCTGTAGACTTTCTTTGGCTGCTTGCTTCCGCCATCGGCGGCCTACTTGCGTAGTAACAATCAGCGTACACCATATCCTAGGATTTCCGCTCGAAATTATTCTTCTACTGCGTTTTGAGTGTCTCGGTCTTGCAGGGGTCACGAAGGCGCCCATGTCTTTCGGTAAGGAAGATCCCATTCATTTACAATATATGGTGCGCGGTGGTTGATCCCCCTTTTCTCCTTCCGTTTATGCCGGGCTGTTCCACTGTCTATTGCTGGGCATCGGCTCGATTGTGGTGGTTGGGATGATTTCAAACCAAATTATTGAATTGAAATCATCTCAAGGCAACCCGTGGGAACTTCCTTTTTTATCTTCAAAGGTAACGAGCCAATACAACAGTGCCCGGTTTCCAGCAAAAAGGACGTCCCAACTTACCGAATTGTTCCAGTGTCTCATAGAAATTTCCCCCAAGACCTCATGACAGTATTCCAGGTGCACGTTTGGCAAATCTCCCGATGTAATCCAGGACCATGATATTAATTCTACACTCATGCCCAACCGCCCCTTTCTCGTCGATGGCCAAGCTAACAGACTTATTGCGGCGTCATATAAATAACTCTAGTACGCTTCTCGCGGCGCTATATCAATACCACTAGCGCCCAGGCTCTCGTTTTCATACCCCCACGCCATTGAAAGGAAAACAAGCATGCTATCACACATGCTGTTCGTTTGGGCGCCTGAAGCAGTCGTGGACGATAAGCCCAGGCCTAGGACATTCTTTATATTTTACGCCGCAATCTTCCCATTCATCCTATGTTAATACAGGTCTCATCAGCTGCTGCCCGATTACCAACGAGTAATGAGAACTTTCATTGGAGACTGACACTGTCAGATGGGACAACAGCCCCAGATCTCAGGTATGTTGCATCTGTGTAATTCTCAACTCTGTAAGCGTCCGTCCGAAATGTGCCGCGGTCTCCTCATCCTCACGTTCTTATGCCATCTGGCCCTTCTAACGACGCTGGACAATTCCATCCCGTCTCCCTGAGAATACCTGAGGCTTCAAGTTGTACTCATGCTCAACCACCCTTCTTTGGCGATGACTGCTCCTCGTGTTCATACCCGCGCGCCATTGAAAGGAACACAGATATGCTATCACGCATGCTACGCGTGTCCAGTTACGCGTGTTGTGGCAGCAGCTGTGCGGCTGCAGCTGCACGTCTTATCAGCTGCCGCCCTGATTACTAACGAGTAACGATATTTCATCGGAGACTAACGCTGTTGGATGGGACAACAGCTCCAGATCTTATGTATCTGTGTAATTCTCAATCTGCGAGAGTTCGTCCGATATGTGCCTTGCTTCCCTTGTCTTCCACGTTCTTTCATCATCTGGCCCTTCTGACGCGTACTAGCAGTGTTATCATATTGACCAGCCTCTAGAACTCTGCCCGAGTACCCCCTGCGCCACATCTCCATCAGGAATAATATTCTCACTAGAGTGCGTGTGTTCACACGCGTAATAGGGTTATCTATGTAATGCCGCGAGAAATCTGTTAGCCGGAGGTCCAGTCGATGGTCCTGGAGGTTTTCCAAACGTGCGTCTGGGATACTGTCGTGGGGTCTTGGGGGAAATGTTTGTGGGATACTGGAAAAATTCGGTACGTCGTTTTTGCTCTAAAATGCTGAAAACCAGTCGGGTACTGTTGTATTGGCTCGAGTCCCTACCTAGTTGGGTTCAATTCAATAATTTGAATTGAAGTCATCCCGACCGCCGCAATCGGGGATGCGCGCTAGACAGTGATGGTGTAAGAACAAGGACCGGCCAGCAGGAACTGAAAGAGAAAAGGGGGATCAACCACTGTGCGCCATATATTGTAAATGAATGGGAACATTATCATTTCAGAGCGTGATATAGGTATCCGCCACGGATGTGAGGCAAATGAATGCAATCGGTGAGGAGCTTCCTTACCGAAGGACATGGGCGCCTTCATGACTCCTGCAAGATCGAGACGCTCACAGCGCAGCTAGCTTAGAAGAATAATTTCGAGCGGAAATCCTAGGATATGGTGTACGCTGATTGTCACTACGCAACCAGGATGTCGACGGTGGAAACAAGCAGCCAAAGAAAGTCTATAGACGACATGTCTGGGTGTGGCAGTAGGTAATGAAAACCATGAAGTAACTCAATTAATAGCTGTTCCCGGTGATCTCTCATGGTATGGATCCTCTATTGACCCGATCGGTGTATAAATAGCTCATGGATTCATCGTAGAGACCCCAGGCCCGAACCACACCTGCACTGCATCAGCAAAAGTCCGTTATGCTCCGGAGCATCAGGAGTGGCTGGAGCATGTGGGAGACAAAACAGCAGATTGGGCACTCCTGGAGCCAATAGTGTTCTCCTGGGAGGGGGTTCAGGAGTGGCTGGGAGTGGTGAGGAGTATGCAATGTGCCAGGAGCAGTGGGAGGAAAATTTTGGTCTCTAAAAAGTTGAAAAAAAAAATTTAGGGAAAAAAATCAAAAAAAATTCAGGAACTATAGTGCCTTTAAAGTGCTTTCAGGACATATAATTATTTGCAAAATTAAGGAAGAAATGATGGAGAAAAATGGAAAATACTTTCGGAGACCTGAGAAGTAATGAGAACTGAATTGATGGGAAAGTCTGAAAATTGAATAGGAAAGTGAGGGGAAGCCTTGTAGCATTGTTATTTTCTGCTGTTCTGATTTTTCCTGATTGTTCTTGGTCTCACTCCCAGCTGCTCCTGGACCCTCCCAGGAGCTTTCAGGAGCTTCCAGGAGTATTGAGGAGCAGCTGGGAGTGAGACCAAGAAGAATCAGAAAAAATTAGAACAGCAGAAAATAACAATGCTACAAGGCTTCCCCTCACTTTCCCATTCAATTTCCAGACTTTCCCATCAATTCAGTTCTCATTATTTCTCGGGTCTCCAAAAGTATTTTCCATTTTTCTCCATCATTTCTTCCTCAATTTCGCAAATAATTATATATCCTGAAAGCACTTCAAAGGCACTACAGTTCCTGAATTTTTTTTGAATTTTCCCCTAATTATTTTTTCAACTTTTTAGAAGTCCCTATTTTTCAAATTTTCCTCATTTCCCTCTACATTCCCCCCTCATTCTCCCCTCATTTCCCCTCATTCTCCCCCTCATTTCCCCTCATTTCCCCCTCATTTCCCCCTCATTTCCCCCTCATTTCCCCCTCATTTCCCCCTCATTTCCCCCTCATTCTCCCCCATTTCCCCCTCCTCCATATTCTGCAAGTCCGAAAGTGATTAAGTTGCCAGATTAATCATATATCAGGCCATAAATTTTGACTGTATACTGGTGAGTCTCAGTGTCCTTGATGTATAGTATAGTGTTTGGTCTAAATGTTAAGTAGTGTCTTGTTGTGTTAGTCTTGTGGTAGGAGGAGGTATTCATGGGGAGTCTTCCCTCTTTTTTTTTCCTTTTCATTTTCAAATGCTCCAGGAGCTCCCAGAAGCTTCTCACCCCTATACATTTTGAAGCATTAAATTGTATTTACTGGATATGTTTGTGCACAAAGCAATGCTCCATGCCCTCCTGGGAGTGCCCTGGAGTACCTGACCAACTCCGGAGGAAATGAGCTGTTCCTGGACCGGCCAATCTCCTCCTGATTCTCCCAGTGCTCCCCATACTCCGGAGCACTCAGGAGCATAACAATTTTTTGCTGATGAACTCAGGCAAAACTGTGCCAAAACTCAAACTCACAAGTGACTCAAAACTCCGGTGTGTTTTGAAAAGTGTGCCACAAGAGGGTGTTTTCGTGTTGCGGCTCCGAGGCCGCAAGACTGTGAAAACCACAACTATCTGTTTTCACAACTCGGTTTTAAACAGTCTTAATTCCGTCCTGCATTCATGTATTTGTCTCCAATGTAACTATACAGTTTCCCAACACCTCCTACTACCTGAACCACACTGTTGCCTACCACACTCGTTACTACAACTAATTACAGCAGGTAGGATGGTCCTCAAGCATTAAGTTAAATGTGTGGGGTGAAACGCACAGGTTGTGCCAAAATCTTCGTGGATCATCAGCTTTGTGCATGTAGTGGCCAACCTAAATAGAAAGCATCCATTGACCGCATGTTGTATTGTTGCCGGCTTGATTGGACTTGGGAGTTGGCTAAGGAAGAGGTAGCTTGAGTGCCGGAAGCTTGACTTGAACTGGAAGTGCTGGGGGAACTGAACTGGAGTCAGACAACGACCTACTGCTACCAGATGAGATGTCGGAGCTGTTGTTGGAGTTGCTAAGAGACAAGGTGGTTAGCCTATAACAAAAGACAGTGCTGCTAGTGGCAGTATCTGGTCTGGAGGTGAGAAACATGGTTTAGTCCAACCTGGATTAAGCGCTCGCATTTGCGGAACCGCTGGCATAGTCGTTACATAATACATTCACGCATTCTAAGGCCAACGGACTTATGGGTTGATTCAGAGGGTCCGTTATGACAGTGTTTTGAACCTGTCGCTGTGAACGCCCTTTTGCTGCACTCAAAACTTACTCAAAAGTCTCTGAAAACTGTCACACAAGAGTGGTGAGTTTTGGCATTCTTGTGACTTAGTTTTGCCTGAGTTGTGAGTGCCGTGAACGTCCCTATTATCAAGAGCACAAGGACGAGCGAACATATGATTGGTTCGAGACTTCAAAGATACATTGTTCACGAAGACTCCATGCAAGGTTCTTGAAGGAGAAGATGAACAACTGTTGGCAATGAATGAAGTGACGAAAAGGGATTGGCTGTCACGGAATGGAATGTGAAGAACGGAGCGATGTTTGTCATTGTATTACTTACCTGTTACATAATAATTTCCAAAACTCATCCCAAAACTCAATTATGTAATGGATATTAATTCTATAAGATGTAGAGTCATAAGATAGAGTCACACGATCCTTAGACAAAGAAGGAAAAACCATAACGTCAGCAAAAGTGACAACATTTACGTAATTTCGGGAGGTGAGAGTGACTGCTGTGCAGTAATTGACTCATCGGTTCACACGATGCAGCATTTGAAACTAGCACTGGGGGAAGTAAGCTACATTTGACATGAATATCGCTGATAACGGTGTCCCTTCTGTCCATATTGATGCCGCAAAGATACTGGATAACCTCGTTTACGAACTCGGGCTGCCGAAGGAAGTGGCGGATCTTAGATCGAACGTTTCTTTCGATGGAGGCGAACCCTTCCTCCCGTTGCCCCAAAGCGTTAGTCCCTCCCTCTACAATCCGAGCTTGGACTGGAGAACAGCATTTCTCACTTCAAATGTTGTCAGCAAGCCGCATCTTCGGCTCTGCATGGTCTGCTGGCCATCGAGGCAGCTCGCGTTCTTCAGCTTCGCGGAGCTACCAAAGTGCCCCAAATCTTCATTAACACGGATCATGCCTCTCTGTATCTTGCTGCTTTTGCTATGAGCGCCTTGGATGGGCATCCTGTCTCTCCTTCCTATCTGAGCCTCGTAAATGAAGAAGAGACCACTTTGCTTCGTCAAGAAACTATGAACGCAAGTTGTAATATGTTGTACCGTGGACATGGGATCGAAGGGAACCTAGGTTTACAAGACTAAGGACGGGCGTTTCTTCCACACGCATTGCTCCCTGAATGCATCGAGTATGCTTAAATTCATCGGGCTTGATCCTGACCTCGTTGTCAAAGACATCGAGGAAGCGAGGGAGGTCATCGGGAAAGAATGCTTGAAGTACACTGCTGAGGAACTTAGAGTGCTGTGTCATTCGAATGGTATGGTTGGCGAAATCGTACTGCAGCCAGCGGAGTTTGACAATTCCGACCATGTAACGGCCCAGTGTTTCTAAACAATCACTTGCGTTTATAAACTCATATCTCATCAGGGAAAGATCATCAACTCTCTTCCGCTTGCGAGATTCATTGATATAGAGAGCTCCAACCCTGGACCTTCTCCCTTACTGGGACTACCATCAACGAATTCTAGACCTCTAGAGGGCTTCCGCGTTGTGGAACTCACCCAGGTCATAGCAGGCAGCGTCGGCGGACGCTCGCTCGCAGAGTTGGCGCTGATGTGGTGAGGGTCATAGGACCAACTCCTCAATTTTCCAAGTGAGCTTGTGGCGCCTCTGTTGGTTTAACTGTATCTAACTTATACACCTACTAGCCTGATTATAACCTAAATATACGCCCCGTCCACATTGATCTACGCTCGAAGAAAGGTCAAGAGCAAATGGGTCATTTGCTGGCATCTGCAGACATATTCTTGCAAGGTACTGTCCAATCATATGCAATTGAAATGAGGTTGAAAACTGAAATGCTGACGACAAACAAACTAGACCTGGGGCCATGAACAGGCTTGGTCTCTCGCATGGACGGCTTGCCGAGCTCGGTAACAAAAGAGGAAACCCTTATATCATCGTGGACGAAGCGTGCTATGGTGGTGTGGCGGAGAATGCTTCATGGAGTCTCCGACCAGGATACAGCAGATCGCTGATGGGCTGAGCGGCGTCGCATGGGAGACCGGTGTAGCATCTGGATTGGACGAACCGGTCAACCCCTGCTTGCCGATATCCGACTATTGCACAGGCACCTTATGTGCAGTCATGGCGGTTTTGGGTCTCGTGAGACGTGCCGAACCTGGGAAATTTGGGGTCAAGGGCAACTCGTTCTTTTCTCCAATTTCACTCACAGCGTTAGACGCTTGGTTGAGACGTCAGGGTCAATATCCGGTTTCGTACGTGCGGGAAAAGCATGCATTGCATGGCTTCAGGTGCGATACGGGTTTCGGGCCTATGCTTTTTAAGACGCTTCAAGTGAAGTTAACCCAGGATCCATTGTATAACCGGCCGGGATTCTACAACGTCATTGAGCATGCGCTGTTCGAAGGTAGGGCTCGAGTAACAGGACAACCACGCCGCGAAGAGGGAGGCAAGGGTGTGAAGTACATATGTCTTGGTCCAGTTATCAAGTTTGACGGGATCGATACCAGCTACATTAGTACCGCGCCATGGGGCTACTTTCGACCTGGCTGGAGTGAAGAAGATGCGGATGCACTTGAGGAGGCACTCCAGGAAATTCCGTGAGTGGAGATGTGGATTGGTATCTAGGGGACATTCTGCTCTTCACTGGACGATACACTCGATGTCAAGCAAGAGCCTTTGAGTCTCAGACCCGTGACCAGGGTAAAAAAAAACTAGGAGAGTGGGACAGACGGACGATGGATGGACGGTATAGATAAATGTGTCAAATTCCCAACAGTGGAGACCCCATCTGCATGCAGACAGCGGCTCACAGGAGAGACATACAGTCCATCGATTCACATCGCTGGATTGACAAGGCAGGTTTGTGAAACGGTTGTGGATGTGTGGCGAAAATCTGCTATGGGTGAATATGCTGAATCTCATTCTCAAATTGTGACAAGCAAGAAAACTCTGACATGAACTATTTTACAGCAATATGCTTCATCCAAGGCGGGAATGAGAAGCACTTCTTTGACAGACAAACAGACACAGGTTAATTATCATCCCCATCGTAGTCGTCCCAAAGAGCGGCCTCGTCCGGCGACACCCATCGGAAGTTTCCAAGAGCCGTCGCGTCTGAATCTTTGGTTTCAAGAGCTAGAGAAGCAAGTGAGTAGCCGCATCAAGTCTTGGAGTGAACTCGAGCTAAGACTCACGGATGAACTAATGAAAAGGATGAGGGTGGGCGGAGAGCAATGTCATCAGACTTCACGACTACTGGGCGAGCTTGGAAGGAAACACGTACAACGGCCGTCAGGTCTTTACTCCTATTCTGAGGGTAAAAGAGAATTCGATCGTTGTTATAATCGACGACTGATCTAGTGCCCTTCTTGATCTTTTTGATGTCGTTGGTAGACAGATTGCCCCAGACGGCTGTGGGAGCACACTATAAAGTTTCGTTCTATGCCACGAAAGACAAATGCTCACAAATATTTTTTCCGGTGCCGTACCCAGCAGGGAGGTCGAACGAAACTTGTTTACCGATGGCAGCGAGGGTGATATTGACTTTGTTTTCATTGCTTTTCTTTCCGACAAACGCAGTGCTCGTTGTGAGTTTGAGGGGATGCCACTCCCCTCCCTTGTGCGTCGTACCGTCCACGATCCACCAGACAGTGCGCGCCTGGGTATTTTTTTTTTACTCAGGCATGCGTCTAAAACACATGTAGACAGCCACCTACCGGATCTCTGCCGACAAACTGGAGGCAAAAAGAGTCATCAATATCACAAGAAAGAAGAGGGTCCAACGGGGAAAAGTACCTCAGCATAAAAATTGCCCTGATTCTCATTGCTGCCAAAGAACTGAACGATGACAGCCGCGTTCTCGTCCTTCACAGAGGTATCGCTGTAGATCACATTGTACTTCGTCTTCCCTCTGATATCGTCAATGTTGTTGTAGAACAAGGTACCGACGGGATCTAAAACCCAAGCACGTCATTAATTCCAGTATCAAGCAACCAACATGCCGCTACTACCTCTTCCGTAGGCAACGTTGTCGATGAACTCCTTCAAGATCTCAGGGGCTTCGATGCGCACGCCTTGCTCTTCGTTGCCATCGGGATTGCTGAAGTAGAACAGAGCAGAGGCGCCAGCCGACCAGCTGTATTTTTCGAAGCGTTCCTCGTATGCAGCCTTGTAGCCCTGGTTGGTCTTGGCAACAGTATAACCCATTGAACTTGGCTGTCTTGGTGTTGGAGTGTGAGTAGTAGTGCAGGTGTAGTTCGAGCCTGGGGTCTCTGGGATGAATCCATGAGCTATTTATACGCTGATTGGGTCAATAGAGGCCCTGTGCCATGAGAGATCACCAGTAATGGCTATTAATTGAGTTGCTTCGCACTTTTCTGCCCCACACCCAGACATGTCGTTTTTAATACCATGTAGACTTTCTTTGGCTGCTTGTTTCGGCCGTCGACATCCTGCTTGCGTAGTGACAATTACACCATACCCCAGGTTTTCTGGTCATTATTCTTCTAAACCAGCTGTGTTGTGAGTGTCTCGACCTTGCAGGGGCACGAAGGCGCCCATGTCCTTCGGTAAGGAAGATCCCATTCATTTACAATATATGGCGCGCAGTGGTTGATCCCCCTTTTCTCTTTCGTGAGAATATTATTCCTGATGGAGATGTGCCAGTGTAGGGGGCACTCTTGTCACCCACGGTGTTTCAACGGCTACTGCAGAGGCAAAATAGCATGCACGACTCGTATCCAGTCAATAGTCAGGCAGAGTTCTAGAGGCTCACCTAATAGAGTTCAGGTATTCTCATGAAGACGAAATGGAATAAAGGAGCACCGTGGTTGAGGGGTCATCCTTCCTGATAAATGATATGGTAACACTGCTAGTACGCGTCAGAAGGGCCAGATGATGAAAGAACGTGGAGACGAGGGAAGCAAGGCACATATCGGACGAACTCTCGCAGATTGAGAATTACACAGATACATAAGATCTGGAGCTGTTGTCCCATCCAACAGCGTCAGTCTCCGATGAAATATCGTTACTCACTAGTAATCAGGGCGGCAGCTGATAAGACGTATAAGGATTGGGAGGATTACCGCGCAGCTGCAGCCGCCGCACGGCAGCTGCATCCGCCCAACTGGCGCCCAACTGGCGCCCAACTGGACATGCGTGACTGGACACGCGTGATAACGATTGGGAGGATTACCGCACAGCTGAAGCCACACAGCTGCAGCCGCACAACTGGACACGCGTGATAGCATATCTGTGTTCCTTTCAATGGCGCGCGGGTATGAAAAGGAGGGGCAGTCATCGCCAAAGAAGGGTGGTTGAGCATGAGTAGAACTTGAAGCCTCAGGTATTCTCAGGGAGACGGGATGGAATTGTCCAACGTCGTTAGAAGGCCCAGATGGCATAAGAACGTAAGGACGAGGAGACCGCAGCACATTTCGGACGGATGCTTGCATGCTTGTCTTCCTTTCAATGGCGTGGGGGTATGAAAACGAGAGCCTGGGGCACTAGTGATATTGATATAGCGCCGCGAGAAGCGTACTAGGGTTATTTATATGACGCCGCAATCAGTCTGTTAGCTTAGCCATCGCCGAGAAAGGGCGGTTGGGCATGAGTGTAGAATTAATATCATGGTCCTGGATTACATCGGGAGATTTGCCAAACGTGGAACTGGAATACTGTCATGAGGCCTTGGGGGAAATTTCTATGAGACACTGGAACAATTCGGTTAAGTTGGGACGTCCTTTTTGCTGGAAACCGGGCACTGTTGTATTGGTGCGTTACCTTTGAAAATAAAAAAGGAAGTTCCCACGGGTTGCCGACCATCGGGTGACCCGGAACCTCAAGCTCCACACGACACCCACTTTGGAGGCTATCGGACAGCCTCTGGGATAGGTCCGTGACACCCTCCTCATGTATGACAGGACCAGAACATGGGTGGATGCTGCTGTCGTCACGGGGTCGCTTCGCGGTGCCATGATTGCTCTTGCAAGATCAGGAATGGTTTGGTGAAGCTCATCAAGAACTTGGCATAGTGGGTGGCTCGATAGGCTGGGGTGGGATAGGTGAAAGTTGCCTGAATGGTGGCCTAGGTATAGTTAGCATTGTCATGTAGAAGCATTAATTTGTTCTAACCAAGGGGGTTTGAGCGGAGACATACATACTAAGTAATTCAATCGGCAATTGCCGTACCCCGGCCATTGCCGCATTCCATATTGGGCATCCACCTAGAAGTCGAATTCACCGCCAACTAGAAAGATGGAGGTATGTGGATCAATTAAACATTGTTCCCAATGATGGCATGTTGTTTTAGGCTCATGAGGGGAGTGCAGAGAATCATTCTCAAGTGTGTCCGGAGTGTGGTATGGACGTACTTCTGGGGACCGGCAAGGCAAGATGCTGTGAATCCCAAGAAAAGCGGAGAATAAAGTAAAAGCTCAACCACAAGCTGAGTTAATGGCTTCATTATTCAAAAAAAAGGAGTCTGTACACCGCCCAACTGTGGTCCCCCCTGCTTTACTCCAAAGTCTAGCCCCTGAGCCCATCCATTCACCCTTGCCATCAAAACCAAATCTTCCACACACTGAAGAAGCTCCACCTAGTCAACCAGACAAAGGACTGCAATCAGCCAGTTGCTTATCAAAACTGAGACATATTGCGACGAACCTCCCTGATACTGTCCCACTTGCTGCTCCCTCAGACCCTATTGCAGCTCTCACTGGTGACCCTAAAGAAATAGTGGCCACTCAAAAGCTGGAAGAGCCAGATGAGGATGTATATGAGTGGCTGGATAAAAAACTCAACAATATTTGTGGTGAATATGCAAAACAGAATGGCACCCTAGCATCAGCCATTAGACAGGGCCCAATGGGGTTGCCAGGGCTTTGTGCTACACTCCAATACTTCACCAACAACAAATTTGCTTCTGAAGAAATTCTGGAGATCCAAATCAATAACCTGATTGAGGAAGCAAAAAAAATGTATGTCACCATCACCATTAAATTCAAATCCCCCCAAAGTGCTGCTTAACATAATTCCAATAGAATCCCTCTAGAGTCCCATCCTGCATCAACAAGGCCCTCCCCAAGGAGACAGGATAATACTGTACTCACTAAGCGCATGTTGCCTTCACCGCAACCTGGTACCAAACACCTCCCATTTCTCCTGGACTCTGATGAGGACAGCGACTCACCTCCACAAATAATTGACAACAAGCATCCATGCCAAGGAATCAGAATCGACGTTCCTGAAGGGAGAAGCCCATTTCTTGAGTGGCCATGGAAAGAACAAGCGGAGTTAGCAATGGCTTGGGACATCCACACTAAAAATGGTATTCTTACCTTGCATGCTCCCACTTGTCTACAGTTGACACTGTGGGTTAATGAGCCATGCCAAGAATGCCAACTCCTCCAAAACAATCAAAGACTTTGCCATATTCAGGACCGGATCCACAGAGGCATCCCCAAGACCACCCCATATAAGTACCTTGGGATGTCTGGATTAATTGAAATTCTCAGGTGGAAAGACCGTCAAATTGACAGTCTCAAACTTAAATGTCTTAACACCAATCGGAAACTGGATTTGCTCATGACTTCAAACCTGGACTACAAAAGATTCGTCATGGCTGTGGGCGAGTGCAATGTACCCCACTTGAATCAACTTGTGTGGTCCACACTATGAAAGAAGCATGGGATTAATGGAATCATTCAACTTATTGGGAGAGCCACACTTGGAACTTACAGCCCAAGGCACACAGAACAAGAACACCTTATGAGTGTTGTGCTCTACCGGTTAGGGGGCACACACGTTGCAGAGTTTGCACATGCAGCACTCAGCATGCCAGGGATAGCAACAACCCGACAACACTGCACAACCTCAATCCATGCTTCTCCTGCCTTCCCAACCCTTGATGAAATGAGATCAAACATCACAACAGCGTTTCAAATTGATGCCCCTTCCAATAATCAAGTTGTCGGCCTTGTTTGTATGATAGATGAGATTAAGGTGGAAGAGGTGTTGGACTGGTGCCTGCACACCAACAGTGTGATCGGCCTTTGTTGAGAGCATTCAGGGTGTAATGCACATGCAATCAATAACATCGATGATGTGCATACACTGTTTGATGACTTAGCAAACAGAAAAGTGCATTTCGGCATGGAGGTACGTCTAGGAAAAAGGGTTGTGAACCATAGCACCAGCTAAATCATAGACAATAGGCTACAGTTGCCGCAATTGGAGCTCTCACCGGGAATCATCGCCAATACATCGCACGGCCATTTCTAATCAGTGCAACATGCAAAAATGAGAAAGCTGACAAACATGCTGATCTCCTCCGCCTAGCATGCAGTGCCTGCAACTGTCATATCCGTGCATACCCAACCCTGACCCGACTTCCGGACCCCCACCCTCTTCACCTCCGGAGTCATACCCTACCGCTGCCGTTCCGATACTCACCTTCGGTCCTGGCAACACACCTCCTTCTACCCCCCCACACCACCTCTACTCCTCCTTCCCTCTCCTCCCCTATCTCCGTCCGCTCTGATACTCACCTCGGACTGAACACCGCCCCTCTCGCCACCCTCCTACTCTTCCCCATCCGCTCCGATACTCACCTTCGGACCCGACAACTCTCCTTTCCGCCGCTCCTTCCCCCTTACCTTTCCCCTCTCTCCTCCCTCTGGTACTCCTCCGCCACCCTCCTGCCAAGTTATGACCTTCCACCGCTGTCCCGTACTTCGTACTCAGACACCGCTTGTACCTTTGCTCCGAGCCTCCGTCATAGTCCCTACCTCGGACTTTGACCCCACCTCGGTCTTAGTCCATTGCATTGGTGACCTCATACTACGTAAACACCATTGCCAATATCCCTCGGACTTTCAACCCTGCCTCCATAACCTCCGTAAGCTCTGCAACCCCCGAGCTTCGCAGATCGCCTTCGGCACTTTCGCCGCTTGTAATGTATCTCTCGCGTTTACCCCTCATGTCATATCCGTGCATACCCGACCCCAACCCGACTTCCGGACCTCCACCCTCTTCACCTCCGGAGTCATAACCTACCACTGCCGTTCCGATACTCACCTTCGGTCCTGGCAACACACCTCCTCCTTACCTCTCCGACCCTATCCCCGTCCGCTCCGATACTCATCTCGGACCGAACACCGCCCCTCTCGCCACCCTCCTACTACTCCGCTCCCCCTTCACAACACCTCCACCCTCCATCATCCTCCTACGCTTCCCCCGTCCGCTCCGATACTCACCTTCGGACCTGACTACTCTCCTTTCTGCCACTCCTTCTCCCTTACCTTTCCCCTCTCTCCTCCCTCTGTTACTCCTCCGCCAACCTTCCACCAAGTTACGACCTTCCACCGCTGTCCCGTACTTCGCACTCGGACACCGCTCGTACCTTGCTCCGAGCCTCCGTCATAGTCCCTACCTCGGACTTTGACTCCACCTCGGTCTTAGTCCATTGCATTGGTGACCTCATACTACGTAAACACCATTGCCAATATCCCTCAGACTTTCAACCCCGCCTCTGTAACCTCCGTAAGCTCTGCAACCCCCGAGCTTCGCAGATCACCTTCGGCACTCTCGCCGCTTGTAATGTATTTCTCGCGTTTTCCCCTCATCCCTATTTGGACTACTGCTTCTTCCTATTCTAGCCAGTTAGTCATCATCCCCACTTCCCCTCATCCTCCTGCCCCTCTGGGCCTTGCCCTCCCTACCTCCTTTCGGATGTATCACAGGTCCTGCCTTATGACCTTCGGTACCACTCCGCTCCTTCTACCCTTTGTTCCCGTTTGGACGTCTTCGTTCCGATTCGGTTACCCTTTGTTTTCCTTGTGCTTTTGCCCCTTCCATTATATATATCGGCGCTTGTACATACTCGTTTTGGTTTAGTCCGAAATCGACCTGAAATGCCCCCTAGAGACTTCCTGCTCACCTACTGTGAAATTAAGGACCAAATGGACAAACAGCAATGGCACAGCGCTCCGCTTGAGTCGCTGAGGCCAAGGTCCCTCCACGCTAAGTCTCCGATTCCACTCCGGAGTTGTCTGTATCAGCCCCATTCTAACAGTCGTTACAGACCATAAAGCCCTCACCTACTTCAAACAGAAGCAGCACACTTCTGGATGCCACATAAGGTGGCAAAACTTCTTTTATGGCTTCAAGTGCGACATCTTGTATGTTGAGGGCCACAAAAACAAAGTGGCTGATGCACTCAGCCGCTATTACGAGTCTTCGTCAGATGAAGACCTTCATTATGATGACTTTGTCTCTGCAGATGTCTGCATAGACAAATTTGGGGAAGACCTCCCTCTAAGTTGTATTGAAGAGGCAGAAGAAATGCTCCTTCTGCACCGACTGTCGTTACAACTCGCTTTGGTGAGTAGTGTGATCGAAGATCGCAACTTGGAAGCTGTGATCCTTGGCCCCCCTGACAATCGTTCAGGGAGGAGCGAGCTGACGCTCGCTGACATCGTACTGCCTGATTCGCTCAGGAGTGTTGTTGAGGAAGGCAACTTCCTCTCCTCTGTGAAAGAGGGGTATGCCAAGCATGCAGCTTGGCAAAGGATTCTAGAGAGAATCCCGGACAATTCCCAAGATTTAAGGTTGAGAATGGCCTTATTTCAAAGTTGAATGACTTGGAAGAACCACGTTTGGTTCTCCCAGATATCATTCATAAAGGGGAGAAGGCGACTGGGACCGCTGTCCAAAATGCACATGAGATCCTAGGTCACCTAGGATTCCATAAAACCTTAGAATATTTATGCCGCTATTATTGGTGGTCTACAATGGTATGTGACATGGAGAAGTATGTCTCCTCATGCGAAATGTGCCAGACCACCAAGCGGTCTACTCGACGAAGAGCTGGGCTGTTGCACCACCTGCTGATTCCAGAGGCCCCATGGTCCTCTATATCGATGGACTTTGTTGGTCCTTTCCCAGTGAGTCTAGATCATAACTACCTCTGGGTAGTTATGTGCCGTTTGACTTCGCAGGTTCACTTGATACCTGTGAAAACCACAATCAACGTGCTAGAACTTGCGTATGAGTTCTTGAAAGGTGTCGTGTGCCTTCACGGACTCCCAAGATCCATAGTGTCTGACAGAGACACTAAGTTTATGTCCAAATTTTGGACGGAATTACACAGGTTACTCGGTGTTCATCTAAAAATGACGACTGCTTTCCATCCAGAAGGTGATGGACAAGCTGAACGAATGGTTCAGAGCATCGTCCAAGTAATTCATGCAGCTGTTCGGCCAGATCAGTGCAACTGGGTACTAAAAGTTCCTCTTGCCAAGTTCATGATAAACTCGAGCATGAATAAATCGACAGGGTATGCCCCTTTTGAACTTATCTATGGGACAATACCCCGTATGACAGTGGAAGTTCCACCAACTAACCTCCCTGGAGTGGGCGCCTTTGCACAGAAAGCGTTAGATAACCTCCAGGGCACCCATGATGCGATAATAAAGAGTCGCATCAAGCAATTGGTCCAAGCCAATCGGCATAGGCACCCAGATCCGCCTAAGCTGAAGGTAGGTGACTTCACCGACTTGGTGACAAAGGACCTTAACCTGCCTAAGGGAAGAGCAAAGAAACTCCTCCCCAAATACGTTGGGCAATATGAGATCCTCAAAGCATTCGAGGATTCATCCAATTATACACTCAAGCTCCCTCTGGAGCTTCTCAATAGGGGTATTCACCCCAAGTTTCATGTTTCTCGCTTGGCCCCACACGAGCCAAACAACTCACTGCTATTCCCGGGTTGGGCTGCCCAAGTCTTCTACAACTTTTGTGAAGATCCCAAATGGGAATATCAGGTCCAGGAAATCCTGGACCATTCCTGGGACACTGGCGGTAGCCTGTGGTTCCACATCAAATGGGGCCTGGGGGATCTCACATGGGAGCCTCTCACTCATTGCAATGAATTGGCTGCATTAGATGACTACCTATTGTTACATGGGGTCGATGCAGTAGAAAATTTGAATAAGGAAAGCAAATTTCCTTCTATTCCCACATGAGGGGCTAATAAAGCACCCTGTCCTACACACTCCCGATGGACTACCCACTTGGGAATAGTCCTATGACCTAATGAAGGACAATTATGGTGCTAGTTGCCATATTTGGGTTTTGCCTCCGGGGTATGAACATTGTTCCCATGGACAAAACTTCATCCTTCTTCTTTTCCCCCATCATGTCTGAGCAAGTACAAGCTAACTTCAGGAGAGAAATGCTGCCTGACAACGACCATGGGCAAAGCCCACGATTGAACACCACCCCCACAGACACTGAGACCACGGGTCCTGCTTTAGACAACGTTCAACATACTTCAACGCCAGGTGCTGAGGCCCCCAGTGTCTCCAACATCTCTAATTCTACCCCGATACCAACAGTATCAGGGCATCCTTCCCCTGTGATGGATGTGCAAGCTACTACAGCTTACACTGTGTCTGACCATCAAACAATGGGCCCGCAATTTTTTGCGGACTCAATGGCACCAGGACAAGCACCACCATTGCCATACTTTAACTTTAACCCCAATCTCTGGGGTTACCACCCTTCCCTCCCTCGTGGAGCACCCACTCCTGAAGCGGCTCACCAGCCACATACTACAATGTCAGGGTCTTTCCTGACTGAACTCCTTATGGATGCAAACGCCCATGTTCAACGTCTTG